GGACCGCAAACGGCCACAGAAAATGGGGAGCAGCCGCATGGATCATGGAGGTACGAGCAACCTAAATGATCAAGCCAATGCGACGCTCAGCAATCCCATTTTGCTGAGGAGAGGCCGGAAGCGTGAACGACTGGCGGATGCCCTCGTCTCGACAGAACTCCGCAAGGAGGCCAGAAGAGAACTGTCAGAGTGCGGTCGCAGGACTGGCAAGTCCCGCCGAAACCACTCGCGCAGCTGGCGACGAGTAGCACGGATCCAGGGGATCAAAACACTGTTGACGTCCACCTTGCTGCGCAAGGGGAAGACAGTGGTGTAGCGTGTGTAGTCGTCAACCACCAGCAGGAAGTAGCGCTCCTGGTCCGTTCCACTTACGGGGGCTGGGCCCCACACGTCCATGTGGAGAGTCTGCAGAGGAGCAGTGGTCGGAGGAAACTCGGAGGAGTGAGGAACGGCGCGCTGCCGCCCCTCGACGCAGGGAAGGCACGGCGGGGCAAGCAAGCGCGGGAGGGAGGGCAGGGACCTGTGTCAGAATGTTATTATTGTCTAGCCTGCAGTGGGGTACTCTATAGCGAGTACAACCCAATTAGGGTTTCCTATATGTATGCCAACTGCTGCTAGTCCAAACACTCTTTCTTGTTCTAAACTTTTTACTGCTATTTCTAACATGGTATTAAGAGCGAAGGTTTAGACCTAGGATCGCTTACCTAAGGGCCCACCGTTCCGCTAGAAGCGCCCTCGAGCGCCTTAATGCATTAGCGCCCTCGAGCGCCTCTCTCCTAGTGCGCCCTCGTGCGCCTCTCTTTCTCCTCCTGCCCGTGCGCAGCTCGCTAGTGCCGCGCGCGGCCTTTTTTTTAGCGCGCGTAGCCCACTAGCAGCCCGCGCGCGGCCTTTTCTGCGCGCGCGCCGACCGTTAGCCGCCCGCACGACCAGCGCCGCCCACGAGCAGCCCGCTAGCCGCCCGTCGACTGGCCCTCCTGGCCATCCAGAGCGTAGCAGCCCCGCGTGTAGGCCACCGCGTCACCCGTGTAGGCCGCCGCGTCACCCGTGTAGGCCGCCGCATCACCCGTGTAGGCCGCCGCGTCACCCGTGTAGGCCGCCGCGTCACCCGTGTAGGCCGCCGCGTCACCCGTGTAGGCCGCCGCGTCACCCGTGTAGGCCGCCGCCCACGCGCGACTGCAGCCCACCCACAGCTGCGACCCGCCCGCTACAGCCACCCACGTGCAGGCCCACCGCCGCGAGGCCAGAGACAAGGAGACGGGAGTGCATGTTGTGGAGACCCGGCAGTGAGGGGTGACCGAGGCGGTGGTGCCAGAGGAGAGTCTGGTGGGAGAGTACCTGATACGAGCAAGACGCTGCAAGCTGACCCGGCGCAGATACCTGACTCGACGCAGCCACCTGTGCAGACGCAGTGTGGTCAGTGTGTACAGACTAGACCCAGGCCGTCGAGTGAACGTAGCAAGGTGACGGCCAGTCCGAGAGCATGTACAGATCGCCACACGCTGCCCTCTTGGAGTAAAGGTGTCAACCCATACATCTTGAAGAGCGGCGTTGCTCACCAAGTTCGTCGAGAACGTGGGGAGGTGGAGACCTGACAGAGAACCGGAGGGGACTGCTGGACACGGAAGGACTGTGGAGGCTCGTGCGACGAGTGGGCCCCCAGTGGGGTCAGCCAGTGAGACTGGTACCGGTGTAGCTAGTGGTGTGAGTCTGGTGCAGTCACGAAAGAAACAACGAGACACGCCTGAGTCAAGTGTGAAAGTGTGAAGGGCCTCAGCGGAGGCAGCAGACGCACTAGCAGCAGACTCACTAGCACCTGTGACTACAGACTCACTAGCACCTAGTATTGCAGCAGACTCACTAGCACCTAGAGCAGCAGCATCGACACTAGCATCACCAGGTACACACGAGTAACACGCACCCTCATCACTAAGCTCAGTCACATACATACCATAGATGGTAGCATTGATCTTTACAAAGTCAAGGGCATACACATCTACCCCCATCCCCTGCAGTTTCAGCCAGTTGGGGACAATCGCCTCCTCACCGTACTCATCCACCCAGGCATCCTCAAGACGGCCAAAGCAGCGGTACTCGGTGTGCAGCTTCCCGCAGGGCTGACCCTTCAGCTTCCCAATGCGCCTGACGTACGGGCAGCGACCAGAGCCCCCAGGGGAAACATGCTGGACAACCCACTCACGAAGCTGCTGAGGGGTGGGGTTGTCAGGGAGGTGCGGCAGCTGCTGTCCAGAGCCACCACCACCACGGCCTCCACCCTTGCCAGCTCCACCCCGACCTCCTCCACCACCCCCGCCGCCTCCACCACCCATGCCGCCTCCACCACCCCCGCTACCTCCACCACCCCGTCCACCTCCACTGCCGCCACCCCCAGAGCCACCCCCACCGCCTCCACCCCCGCCACCACCACCCCCGCCACCTCCACCGCTAGAGCCACCCCCACCCCCCTTGCCCCCTTTGCCCTTGCTGTTGCTGCGCCTTCCACCGGGAGCAGACGCAGCGCCAACTTCCTCAGCACCAAGGAGGTCGACAGCAGCAGCAGTAGCAACTGAGGGGAGGAGGGGGGAGGGAGTAAACCCTTCAAAGAAGGGGGATCGGGGAGTGCCGCGAGAGGCAGCGACAGCGAGAGTGCTCTTCTCGGCCTCGAGAAGGGACTTCTCGAGCGAGTTAAGCGTGATCTCAGTGGGGTCAAGGGCTAGGAACTGGTCCCTGACAGTGCAAAGGGAGTCAGGGAGGCGAGTGACGAGGAAGTACAGTGTCATATACAGCGGGCGGGGGGTTCGCAGCGAGGAAGGCCGGCTTGAGAACGGCGCGGTAGCGAGCCTCACTAGAGCGGAGGTGGGTAAACAGGTCAGAGATAGTGTGGAAGTCGGCTAGTTCGGGATGCAGGTACGGCAGCATCAGACGGCCTAGGGCAGTAGTAGCTGGGGAGGAGTAGCGAGCGACTACAGCGTCATAGAGGGCCTTGGCTGTTTTCTGCTAGCTAAAGTGCGCGCGCTCAGCTACGGGCAGATGGTTGCGGACAGTAAGGCGGGCAGTGGCGTCACGCAGAGCCACTTCGAATGATCCTCTACCGCTGTAGCAGCTGGGGCTGGGAGGGTTCCTTCGGTATGCACGAACAGTGAAATTCCGTCCCTAGCCTCACTATGCAAGTACAGTTGGAGATCATCGAGCCAAACATCAAAGCTAATCGCGCAACCCTCAGCGTCAAAAGTAAGAACTGAGAAGTTAGCCATATCTGCAGTAGCAGCAGCAGTAGCAGCAGCAGTAGGAGTAGGAGCTGCAGCAGCAGTGGCAGTAGCAGCAGCAGACTCAGCAGTAGGAGCAGTAGGGTAGTGTTGCTTAGGCAGGGCGGCGCGGCTCAGCAGGGCGGCGCGGCTCGGCAGGGCAGCGCGGCTCGGGCTGGGCAGGGCGCAGCGGCAGTAGCAGCAAAATCAGCGGCAGCAAGGAGCAGCAGCAGCAAGGAGCAGCAGCTGTAGCATGTAGCAGCAGCTGCAGCAAGTAGCAGCAGCAGGAGCAAGTAAGAGCAGCTGCAGCAAGTAGCAGCAGCAGCAAGGAGCAGCAGCTGCAACAAGTAGCAGCAGCAGCAGCTCTTAGGAGAAGGCGCACAGCATCAGCAGCAGCAGCGCGCGGGCTGGGTGCGTGCAGGTAGCGCGGATAGCGCTCAGGCTGGGCGCGGGCGGGTAGCGCGCAGGTGCGCGCGGGGAGCACGCGGGTAGCGCGCGCACGTAACGCAAGTAGCGCGCGGGTAGGAGGAGGGCCAGGCGCAGGGGCTAGCGGGCAGCGCGAGCGGCGCGCTGGGCAGCTGGGGCGCGGGCAGGGGGGTTCGCGACAGTGCGACAAAAAACGCACAGGCAGTTGGGGGGGTCGCGACAGTGAAAAAACCGCGCCAGCGCGCTGGCAGTAAGGCAGCGCTAGGCGCTTCGAGTAGGGCAGGACAGGGAGGCAGCGCTAAGGCGCTTCGGTAGTGCGGAACGGTGGACCCTAGTAGGATCGACTTCCTACTCTGAAACCATGTGAGAAACCTACTCGAGGGAATGTTTGACTAGCATGAGAGTTGTGTACCAGTGCTAGACCTAATTGGGGTTGTACCTCTTATGGTGTACCCCAGGACAGCCTAGCAAGCACAAATGCAGTTTGACAATACCTCCGGCTATAGGACCCGCCGGTAAGAAGGTCCCCCGGGACTCTTGAATGGGTAGGGGGACTCTTATTGTGGCAGGTTTTGTGAGGACCCCCCTTTTGCCCCTAATCATCATAAGACCCCCCTTTTCTGTATAGAGTAGTTGTTATTGCTATTGTGAGTCAGCTTTTACTGGCACAAATTCGATTTTTGGCACGTTTTTTGTGTCAGACTCGAATTCTGACACTTCATTTGTGTCAGACTCGAATTCTGACACAGATCTGACGCGCCACTCGCGCGAAATTTGCAAACGAAGGCTGTTTTTCGTTACGAGTATAAGACCCCCCCACCCCAAATTGAGCCGTACACCCTAGATAACAGATTGATAGTTGATAAATAAGTGTACCCCGGGTCTTCAAAAATTACTGCCGCCTTAATGTCTACCCAAGCATTTTTTTATGCATTTGTAGAGAGTCCCCCGGGTCCTATAGCCAGCACTATACGGTACAAAAGTGTGGCCACAACCAAAGTGTTGCTGCTTATGCCAGAAAGAAGACCCTACATTTTTCACATGTAGGGAGAACAATGCAACGGAAGCAATGAATGGAAATAGAATAAGCTCACATTTCATACAAATCTTCGTTCTCATCCTGACCCCACTCTCACCTTGTCTACAACTATGGTCTCTCTACCCTAGCTTCACTTATTTCTCAAAAGCATTGAGAAGCCTTCAGTCAGAGCAGCGTTTGTGCTACTGCTGTGCATGAGAAGCATATTGAAACGGGAAGAGAGATATGCAATTTGGTGTAAAATGTTAGACCCCCCTGGTTCATCACACCGTGCGCTCTTTAGCGACGCCCATTTAGGTGATGTTGCCGATTCCCGCAGCCTTTTCTGCATTGTCAGCTTGCACCAGCGCAGCCTTGAGCTTATCCGTGAACTGAGTAACCTTCTTGTCTGCGATAGCCTGGCTCTGTTTCGCCTTCGCCAAGCGCGACTTCGCGTCAGTAACCGCCTTTTGCTTCTTCGCCTGGTAATCGTCAACAGACTTCTGCGCGTCAGCGATAGCAGCTTGCAAATCGTTGTACACCTGGCTGGCGACGGAAACTGCAGCTCTTGCATCGTCCACTGCCATCTGAAAAACGCTCTCGTCCTGCGGACCGAGCGTCATCAAATCGTTCAATTCCTTTCGCGCGCGCCCCAGCCGCGCCTGCGCGCGCTGATCTTGCGCCACCATGTCCGGATAAACCTCCTCCACAGATTTGCGCGAATCCTGCGCTGCTGCGAGCGCCGCCTCCGCCACGGGCGAGGGGTTATCATTGAGAGCCTTTTCTGCGTCAGCTTCCGCTTGCGCGGCCTCCTGCACGACGTTCCGCCATTCCTGTAGCAGCGCCGTCGTCATGCTCGCGCGTCGAGTAGCGTCGCTGACCGCCTTTTGCGCCGCCGGGATTTGCGGGTGCTTCGACGGATCAGCCTTGAACGCCGCGAGGTCCGCGATCCGAAGAGCAAGAATCTTGTTTGCGATATCGAGATCGTACTGTGCATCCGAGACGCTACTGTTTGTGTTAGAGACGCTTGTAACGAAGTTGTTGAGAGCCGAATCGTCCGGGCTCTGGAGATCGGACAGCGCTTGCGTGGCGTTGGCTACTTCGTCCGCGTTTTTGGCGGCGTCCGCTTGCGCGGTTTTCAGGTCCGTCGCTGCTTGATCTGCAGCGGCGCGCAGATTCCTGGCTTTGGCGACGAGAAACGCGTTCTGGGCGGCGGCGCCTTGAGGAGCGGCGAGAAGCGCGACGAAACACGCCAAAAAAGCGGCAGCGAGAGCAACACGTTCAGTCAACCTCATGTTGTCGATATTTCAGGATCGAAGCAGCTCGATTGTTTGCAGGACTTCGCTCGAGAAATTGTGGAAATCCGGGGGCGCGAGCACTACTCGAAGTCTCTTCTCGAGGCTGTGCACGATGGGAGCTGCGGAGAGGGAAAGCACGTGGCTCTCCGATTCAAATGTCTCGTGCTGGATAAGCACGGCGAGGGAGAGTGATAGGCAAGCAACCGAGTTGTTAACAGTAAGGACTGTTGAAAAGGAGCAAGAGTGAACGTGTGAGAGCGGGATGGTTCTGCTTAGTACAAAGCGGCCAACCCGCATGTTGTCCAGTCGAGCTGTGCTCCGCTGTGTTAGATCGTGCGCCGCGGCGCTTTACTAGGCTCTGTTAGCCTGATGCCGCCCGTGCACTCCAGACTGGCAGATTTAGAATGTAACTGCCCATAAACATATAGACCAATAACCTTAACCTTAAAGCCCAAGACCTGAATTACTCAACGGAAGTCAACGCCAAAAAACTAGGTTCGGAAGAGGTTCGGTTTGGCTGCGAAACCCTTTCACTCGCGAAACCAGTTTGCAACAAAGTTGTGTCGCTTGGAAGAAGACCTGTGATGAATGGCGTGCTTCCCACAACCAGAGTTGAGCGTACATACCAAACTGTGCACACTTTGACAATCCTAGCAGCAGACTAAAACTAGGCATAATATAGAATACGTGTAGGCAGGGCGTAGCCGTTGACTCTAGAGCGATCAAGGCGCGATGCGATGGTGTGTGGTGCGGAATGTGAGTTCGAAGCGTAAGGATATTGAGCGGCGTGCGATGAGATATGGTGTAAAAATGCAGGTTTCACATAACCCTCACGTTCGGCCAAGCGTAACCATCCCTCGCCCTCGCTTTCCTTCACCCGGGTCCCACGCTTCCTCTGTCCATCGCCCGCGTCGTCGCCTTCGCTTCCGCAGCCCATCGCATTCGCGGCCCCATCCCGTCGCCTTCGCTTCCCCCGCCCGTCGCCGCCTTCGCTTTCGGATGACCGTTGCCTTCTCTTATCCCGCCCGTCGCCTTCGCTTCTCCCCCCCGTCGCCTTCGATTTCCCCGCGCGTCGCCTTCGCTCCCCCCGCGCGGAGCCTTCGCTTCCCCCGCGCGGAGCCTTCGCTTCCCCTGCGCGGAGCCTTCGCTTCCCCCGCACGGAGCCTTCGCTTCCCCCGCGCGGAGCCTTCGCTTCCCCGCGCGGAGCCTTCGCTTCCCCCGCACGGAGCTTGGGGAGGGAGGAGCGGGCAGTGATGCTGGGCAGCTTCCCCGAGGACGAGGCGCGTCTGGGGGGGGACAGGCGGGGGAGGGAGGGGGAGAGGGAGGGCACGCGGGGGGGGGCCGGGGAGTGTTGGAGCGGAGTGAGAGCTACGACTCTCTGCTGTCAGACATCAGCCGCGTCAGCTCCCTCGCTGAGAGGCGGAGGAGGAGGCGGAGGGGGGGGGGGAGGGTGAGTGGGAGGCGCGCTAGCCATGCCCTTGCTCGTGGGCATGGGCACGGGTGGCGGTGGTGCGATGGAGGGTGCCTCGGGAGCGTACTGGGCGACGGAGGGGAGCAGCAGCATGGGCGCCGGTGGTGCGTCGTCGGGTGCGTTCCTTGCAGTGCAAGGCATGGGGGGCAGCAGCAGCCCCATGGGCGGTCAGCAGCAGGGGGGGATTTCCAGCAGCACGGGAGGGTAACCCTCCGCCCGGCTCTATCCCCCCCTCCTCTGACTCGGCGGTCGCGCTGGCGCCTGCAAGGGCCAGGCTGGTGCTCTCTCAATCCACCTTCTCCCCGCCCTCTCCTGCCTTCACCATTGGCGCCTCGCCCCCGCCTCCTGCACTCACTCTTACTGCTGCGCCTGCTGCTCCTGCTGCCGCCGCTGCTCCCGTTTCTCCAGCTGCAGGCACAGGTGCCGGAGGCAGTGCTGCTGCTGCTGGTGCGTCCGCCCTGCGCAGCCCGGTGGGTCTGGCAGCCTCCCTGGCACCAGCGTCACAGCGCTGCTCCTCGTGACGCCCCTCTGCGCAAGGTGCCTCCTCTGACTCGGCGCGCAAGGGACCCCATGTGCCCGCATCTGCGAGTGCTGGCGGTGCTGGGGACGTGCTGAGGGAGCCGCTCTTGACACGGCAGCAGGAGGAGGAGGAGGAGGAGGGGGAGGGAGAAAGGCGCGCAGCTGGCGCAGCAGAAGTAGCAGCAGTTGTAACTCCTAGAGCAACAGCAACAGCCCGAGCAGCAGCAGCACCACCACCATCCGCACTGCCTTTTGCTCCACAGCTATACATGCCCTTCTGTACCTCCAACCTCCAGCCCTTGCTTATTCGCCATACCCACTCTTCCCTCCCCGTTCTATCACAGAACCATGCTTGTACAGGTGCCCAGCACCATGGGTCCCAACAGGAGTGGGATGGAAAGTTACCACCTTCCAGATTTGTGCATTGTGCCTGTAGTCCACTGGCGACAACTGTAAGGAAGAAAATCTCTTGCTTTGTTGCATTTCATGGTCGTGCTCACGTACATGGCTGCTCCGAGGCCCAAAGTGTTGTATCATGAGAAGCATCCAACATACATGGCATGGCTATTTGTCATACCACTATCATCAAAGAGTGAAGGCATCACAGCTAGATACATGGCAGACCTGCACAAACACGAACCACAAAATCTAATGTGCCAAGAGTCGAAGCAGCGGGGAAGGATACAAAACAATGACAATGCAAGGGCAGGCAGGCAACAAGAAACAAGCCCCTAGAACAAGGTAGGAGTGTATAGGCGTGGCAGGGTAGAAGGGTGCGGAGGAATGGTTGACGAGAGGAAGTGAGGAGGCTGAGAGGAAGGGAGGATGGCAGCGAGGGACGCAGGGAACAGGGAATATGAGGAGGGAGAAATGAGCAAGGGAGACAAGGAGGAAGGGCGGAAGAGAGGATGAGATGAAGGGAGGGAGGAAAGGGGAAAGAGAGGGGAGAAAGACACTGAAGCAGAGAGTAGGGCAGAGGGTGGAAGAGAGGAAGAAAGGAAGGGAGGAAGGGAGGACAGGAGGAAGGGAGGGGGGAGGGAAGAGAGGGAGGATGGGAGGATGAGAAAAAAGGAGGGTGAGACGAAGGGAGGATGAGCGCAAGGGTTGGAGGGTGGAAGGGGAGAAGGGGGGATGGGAGGATGTGAGGATCAAGTTGGGAGAGGACAAGTGGGTGAGACGGAAAGGTGGACGGAGGGTGGGAGGAAGCGAGGGCGACGGTGGGAGGAAGCGAGGGCGACGGTGGGAGGAAGCGAGGGCGACGGTGGGAGGAAGCGAGGGCGACGGTGGGAGGAAGCGAGGGCGACGGTGGGAGGAAGCGAGGGCGACGGTGGGAGGAAGCGAGGGCGACGGTGGGAGGAAGCGAGGGTGACGGTGGGAGGAAGCGAGGGCGACGGTGGGAGGAAGCGAGGGCGACGGTGGGAGGAAGCGAGGGCGACGGTGGGAGGAAGCGAGGGCGACGGTGGGAGGAAGCGAGGGCGACGGTGGGAGGAAGCGAGGGCGACGGTGGGAGGAAGCGAAAGCGACGGTTGGAGGAAGCGAAGGCGACGGTGGGAGGAAGCAAGGGCGACGGTGGGAGGAAGCGAGGGCGACGGTGGGAGGAAGCGAAAGCGACGGGAGGGGGAGCGTGGTCAACGACGGAGTAAAGTGTGAGCGACAGCGGGAGGAAGCGAGGGCGACGGTGGGGGGAAGCGTAGGGGACGGCGACGGCGACGAGGGAAAGCGTGGGTGGCAGGGTGTGACGTCGACTAGGAAGCGCGGGAGGGGAATGTAGCTGAGGCAAACATAGGGCGAATGCGCGGGAAATGACCGCGGTCGACCGTTTGATTACCTATTATCGAGCTCGGAGAGGAGATGCATGCGCCGCAAACTGTCGTTTGCGCGGTCGCGCAGGGTTTCGACGACGACGCTGAGTAAAAAGCGGCGCCATCGCATAGAATCTGTTTGGTGTTTTTTTTTTTTTTTCCGGTGGATTGGGCTCCAGCTCTATTGGCTTTCTGCTCTACCTAGGAGTTTCACGTGACTACTATGTGGTCGAGCATGACCTGAATTACAACAATTTCCAATCTGTACACAGCTTGCCTTGCCGTACTCCCTTCAGGAGGGAGCGGTTGGGACTCTCGCCAACCAATTTTGGGCTTACGACTCTCTGCAGTTTTGCGGGGCGTCATTTGGTAACCAGAGAGGCTCGGGAAGTCAACTGTGGGCTCGGAAGGCAAACTGTGCGCAGTTTGCCTTCCTTTTTTTGTAATTCAGGTCTTGGGCTTTAACTACAGCTGACAGAGAGTCATGCGTGCAAGAAAGAATCAGAGGCCATGCTGGATGAGCCATGTGTTGGAGTCAGGCCATCGCGAATCGCGATCCGCGGCGCGATTCCGCTCGCCTCGTCTCGCGTCTCCCGTGCCTTGCCCCACAGGTCGTTGTGAGGGAGAGCATTGCAAAATGCGTTGACTCCAGGCGACCACACTTGCAGCACTCCTCGAACCGCATTCGCCTCGGCGTAGCCTCGATCGGACTTTGTCTAGTGACTTCAGAAAAGCATTGGGTTGCGTTCAGGCTCGATATTATACTGCACTGTACACTCATTGCAGTCTCCCACCAACAGCTTACGTCAAGTTAGTGTAGAGTGTAAATCAAGGGCTGGAGCCATATGCAACGGCAATGGGACCTGTACATGGAGAAGACGCAACGCAATACAACTGCCGAAGACCCGATGTTTAGGTAAGTCTCAGAAACAAAGTGCAGAATTACTCGATCCTTCCTTGGCGCGTAGCTTGGGAATCGCCGCTACTCAACTCGTAGGTTTGTCCATCACCCAGTTACACAAAAAATGGTTTCCTAAAAGATCGCACCAGTCTCGCCTAGGTCGTCTCCTCCAACGCGCCTCTGAATTGCTGGCGCGACTCGCAATGTGTGTGTGAACTCCAATGCCAGTTGGAATTTGGGCTTCTCGAGATTTCGACTGCAACCCACTACCCCCACGGCCCGCCCCTCCTCCCCCTCCCCACCCACCCAACCCAACCCAACCCAACCCCAGCTCGCCCCCAACTCGAACCCACCTTGTTTTCTCAAGGTTCTTCCAAGGGAGTGATTTCTCTCCCAGAAGTACCGATGGCGGATCTCCACTTCACCAACCGCGAGTAGACCTATGGGGGAGAGCGTCCTTAGGGTAAACTCCTCGAATCGCACAAAACAAGAACCACCATGAAGTGCATTCGGCCCTTCTCGAACACTCTCGACACTGGTTACTCCCCTCACTTTGACTGTTCGTCAGGCCAAATTGCATGTCGCCAATCCGCGACACCGTGGGAAACCGTTCCACACACATTCTGTTCCTCGTACCTGCGTATAAGATACAGACTCCCAAAGCAAGTTCGACATCAGATTCAAAGCCGCACATCAATATCATCATCCCGATAGTATAAACTACTTCCTGCGCCTAGATTCACGGAAATCCATCACCTTGAGCCAACGAACTCTCACATTCAGCTACGTTCGCCTCATTTTGTAGACAAGCGCGGTCAAGCGCGAACAAGCGCGGTCAACCCGGTCAATCTGGCATGATGGCCGCTCGTCGGCTCACCAAGCTCGCCCTTCTGCTCCTCCTCGCACTCGCTACTACGAGCAACTTAAATCCCGGCATCCTCGCCGACGCGCAAAGCCTGAGCGCCTCGCAAGCCGCGTACATCGCTTCCAAGGCGAAGACGCTTCGCGCGCAGGCCAATCAGGCAAAGGCTGACCTGGACAAGGCGCAGGCGGTGCTCGACGCGCGCCTCGCGGACGAGCGCGACGCGGCGAAGAAATCCGCGGACGCGGACGCGGACGCGGACGCCGCCATGACGGATTTGAACGGGAAAAAGGCGGCGCTGGAGCGAGCGAAGCAGGAGCAGGAGGTGACGCGTCAGGCGGCGATTCAGGCGAAGCAGACGACGACGGACGAGCGCGAGTACTACGATGAGCTCGATTCGCAAGCCCAGGAGGCCGTTTTTGACGAGGCGGAAGCGGCAAAAGACATATTAGATGCTCAAAATCGACTGGAGACGACAAGAATGATCATGACTGAGCAAACGAAGATCGCCGCGGAGGCGCTCGCCGAATCTACCTCCGCGGCTCGGAGCGCGGCGAAGCTCGGCACTCCCGAGGCGAAGGCGTACCAGCTGGAAGCGTACAACATCAAGCTGCAATCGGATCGAATCTTAGTGGCGGTTCAGAAGCAGGCAGCAAACGCGGACTATCGAGTTCAGTCGCGTACGGCGGAGCACGACAGTAAGGTTCAGGACAAAGCCGACACGCGAAGCGCGGCCGACGAGCAGAAGGCTGTGAAGGAAAAAGCGGAGAAGGACGAGAAAGACTCGCTCGCGATGTACCAGCAGAAAATTCTTAGCACTAAGGCGGCGGACACGGCCGTGAAAGCTTCGAACGTGATTGCACAGCAGAAGCTGGCGGTGCAGCGCAGCGCCAAGGCGGTGCTTAATACGAAGGTGGCGCTTCGCGCGAGCCAGGAGAAGACGGTGGGGGCGCTGACGACCAGGTTTAATAGTTTCAAGGCGAACGCGGATAACGCGGAGGCGGATGCCAACAAAAGAGGTGTGAAGCTCGACTGATATACATCTTCAGGATGAGGAATGGTGAACGGGGAACGCGGATAAACGCGGAGGCGGATGCCAACAAAAGAGGTGTGAAGTTAGACTGATTGGAGATCGGCTAGTTGAAGATCGATGGTGTGGGGAATGGGGAACACGGATAACGCGGAGGCGGATGCCAACGAAAGAGGTGTGAAGCTCGACTGATGCGAATTTGAAGAGGAAGGTCGTTAGTATGGGGAATGGGGAATGGGTATGGCGCTGAGGAAGATGCTGCTAAGGAGGAGCAACTCCCATTCCGCTCACAAGCGGATGGTTCAATAAACACAGCATCCAGTCTATGCGTTTGCTTTCCTTGTTGGAGCCGCTGTCAGTGATATTGTCATTTATGAGTTCATTATTTGTGTAACAATTCTTCTCAGATAACGTCATGGATTGAAAATTGAATGGGTGGGGAGGGCGCAGAGGAAGAATGTTGGAAATGCGCACTCGGTTGAGCCTTCTGTGGCGCAGAAAATTGGAGGAAAAATGGACTGTGGAAGCAGGCGGGAAAAACAAACGGAAATATTAGGGATTGAGGGTCTGAGAATTTTATCGTAACTAAATTAATATACAGTACAGCTTTACTACATTCAAACTAAGAATCACAAGGATATACCTGATCAGTGTAGCGAACATAATGCTGCCACCACAATATCAATTTAAAAACCACCAGCTAAAACACCAACAGCAGCAGCCAAAATCGATGCAAACGCCGCTGCACCAGCTATTCCCATACGTGCAGCCCCCTTATAAGTCATCGCACTTGGGTTGCTTTTAGGCACAGGCTCAGAGGCCCAAGGTGTACCCACATCAGGAGGTGGGGGCTCATGTGCCGCTCCGGTAATATAAGGAAGAGGAGGATTTTCAGGGAGTGGTGCAAGGTTCGGATCCTCTGGGAGTGGGAACCATTGGCAAGCGTTGGATGCATTGCCGCTGTCCATCGAACGGCCTATGGAGGCCGCGTATTTCTTAGTGTCTACCGAGCCGTAGGGGCACTCCTTAGGGACGTATAGCGGGTCGCAGCAGGCGGGTTGCTCCGGGAGGGCGGCAGGGCCACCGTAGCAGTTTTTCTGTTGTGGTGCGATGGGGGAAAGTGGGGAGGGGAGTGGGCGGGAGGGAGGGGGGAAGGGGAGGGAAGGGTGGGAGAAGAGGGGGGAGGAAAGGTCAACAACTTGAATCAGGAAAGAAAGGGTGTAAGGTAAGTACTGGGAGGGAGAACACAAAAACAACAGGCACGCGGATACGCTTTCCGGGAGGGTTGGGAAACAAAATTTTTATGGCAATTACTGCTTACCTGGAACTCACCTGTCGAAGGGACACGGCCGGATTCTCACCTCGGAAACGAGAAAGGCGACATTCCCAATACCGAGCTTTTGACTTTTGAGTCGACTCAAAGTCAACCGGAGTCTCACCTCAGAAACGATAAAGGCGACATTCCCAATGCCGAGCTTTTGCACGAGAGGAGTGAAGAGGCGCCCGAGCAGGATCTCCTTAGTGGGAAAGCCTGCACCGACCAGCACCGTGCCCACTGGAGGGGATAACGGAGAGATGGGAGGGATTGGGAGGAATGGTAAGGGCATGGAGGGGTAAAGAGGCGCTCCAGCAGGATCTCCTTAGTGGGGAAGCCTGCTCCGACCAGCACCGTGCCTACTGGGGGAGGAGAGAAATGGGAGAGAGAGGAATAATGGGGGAGATATGGGGATGAGAGCAAAGAAGAGGCGCCCCAGCCGAGGCTCCTTAGTGGGGAAGCGTGCTCCGACCAGCACAGTGCCCACTGGGAGAGAGATGGGGGAGATGGGGGAGAGGTGGGAGATTGGGAAGGGTTGAGAGGGGTAAGAGAGGGGTGAAGAGGGGTCTTAGCATGAGCTACTTGGTGTGGAAGTGTGCTTCATCTAGCCAAGTGCCTACTGAGGGATGAAAGCTGAGCAGAGGTGAAAGGAAAGTTACTAGATTATGATATGTTGGTCTCACGTGAGGGCTACAGTGAAAAGAAAAGAAGAACAAATACTGCCAAAAATATATATATATACACTCACGTGAGACGTCTTTGCAGTACCCAAACACTTCTTGCGCGTACGTCGGACACACGCGCAGAACGGGTCTGCCGGCCTTCACGAACACGTAGTTGCCGGAATCTGTGACGGAAAATTGGGGCGGACATAACGAGCGGCGAACAGAAAGGTACTTGACTGAGTGAACACGCCTGCCGTCGGTTGTGCAATTCCCAAGGGAAAAGAGATACGAGGGCCGTTGTTCGCGAGTGAGCAACGGGGAAGATACAAGGTGGAAGAAGGTGGGCTCGCTTGGTAACGCGGAACCAAGGGACGTGACGACGTACATACCGGGGTTACAGGTTAACGCGCAGAGGAGCTGCTCGAGATGAAACTGGCAGTCGTCCAAGCCGTACAGAAAGTCGCACGCCTGCGTACGAGGCACGGAGAAGGGGATCAAGGAAAGCGTACGGAGGAACACGCGTGTCAAATGGGTGGTGAACGGGCTTATAACTGGAAATTGGATTGCTGCCCGAGTACTGATGAACCGAATCGCGACGAAAAAAACCGACGAGGTCCGTTGTTCCCGAGTAGTCGACCGCGTTCATGGGTGCTAAATCAAGGTTTCTTTTGAGAACGATCTGGAGCTGAATGGGAAAACTCTACCACCATATATTTCCGAACCTTTTCCATAACGCACCGTAGTTCCCGAGTAGTCGACTTCATTCATGGGTACTAGAGGCGTGAGCAGCTGCGGCATGATGATCGAAACGTTCGCAGACACCCCCGCGAGCGCGTTTTGAATCTCCTTGCAATCTGTGCAGCACGACGCAGCAGCGGCATCCATGCACCGGCGGTACGGGACCGTGGGGAGCGACGGCGGCTGCTTCGTTAAAGGACATAGCGGATACTGCTGCGCGGTGGATGTACGCGTTAGTGAGAGGACAAGAGGCACGAGGAGGAAAGGGAGGGCTGGAAGGACGGGCCACACGTGGCGCTTCATGGTGACGAGATGAGGCCAAAGCGACAAGTTATTAAGGTCTAGCGAGTGAGATGGTAAGCTTGACCTTAATAACAAGCTTACCATCTCACTCGCTGATGGTGTAACAACGTGCTGCTGATGGCGAAACGTTCTGCTGATGGTGTAACCGCTTATGGTTCAACTGAACTTGAGTTGAGTCGAGTCCGTGGTACACACCGGATATTTTCAGCAAGCTTCGAGGTCTGAATGTTTAGGCGTTTCAATTTGAAATGGGACTTGAGAAGGACGTGGTCTTCACTGTTCGTACGTTTAACACTTCTCAACAACAGACTGAGATGGGGGTATTGACTACTTTTTAGGCGCCTCAAGCTTGCCACTTCCCAGGGTTGAACGGATGCAACGAGAAACTCCAGCTTGAATTGGGGGCGACAACTGAACGTGCAGGGGGGATGGTGGTGGGTGTTCATGGCAGTGGAAGCTTCATCTCGGATGTGTTGAGTCTTCATTAAAGAGGTTACGAAAGGTTCAATACGATTCAGAGCTGTTCCTGTTATCTTTTGACGGTTCGATATGGTTTTGAGGAGACTTTCCCCTAAAGTATGGCGGAATGGATGACTATGAAGGCATGTCGCATCGCGTCACGTCGCGTCGCGTCGCATTGAGAGGGGCTCGTTGCTGGTGCTGATGGACACGCGCAGCGTCGAGTCCGAGTGTCAAAGGTCGGCCGCACGGCGCGTCGTTCGCTTGTGTGACCAATTGAAAAGGTTTCGTGGCTGAAGCCCGACACGAAATAGTCAAGCGGCGAAGACTAGCGAACGCATTATCTCTTTCGTCTCTGGAAATCTATGAAGTGCTGGTAATGTTTCGCCAAACAACGTTCTCCGTATTGCGCGAAACGTGCTCACCACACACAGGAAAAGCGCTCATTACGGTCAACCAGCGAAAGTGCACGAGCCGCCATGGAAGGATACAGTACGACGTGGCTTCCCTTGCACTCGTACAAGCGGGCTTCACTACTGTAAGGGTTTAGCGGATTAATTATGTACCAAGAAAAGAATGTTGAAGAATCTAACAACTACCACCTACTTATACTAAAGACGATTTTGACCTACGGTCTTTGGGTGTCTTTTCAGACTCCTACACAATCTCCTCGTCCATCTCACCTTCCTCTAATCGCGGCAAAGAAGGCCTCCAAAACATCCTCCTATCATTCGCATTCAAATGCCCAATTGCCCCCCATCCCTGTGCACCCGCAGTTCCTCTCCTCTTTTGCTCCTCCTCCACCCGCCTCAGCATTTCCACTGGATCCGTCTCTTCCTCCCCCTCATGAGAAATCACAAGGACATCTGAAGAGTCGCTACCTCCTGCTCCTCCTCCTTTCCCTTGCGACCTTCTCCCCGAGTTTTTCCATAGCTTCTCAACCTTCGATAGAAGCACGCGGGGCGAGGGGGGCGGTGCAAATGAAGCTGTTGCTACAGCCCTTTGAGACGTCTCGCGAAACGCGGCAGCCATTGCTGTTGCTGCACGCCCAGCCGCCCCTCCTGCTGACGCTTTCCTCCCCCCCTTCGCCTCCCCCTTCCCCTCACCCTTCCCCTCACCCTTCCCCTCCTTCCCTTCACCTCTCAACACCGGCTCCTTCCCATACGCCCCCACTTCCTCCTCTTCCTCGCCCTCTACCTCCCCCTCCTCTCCCCTATTTCCTTCCCCCCCCTCCTCCCCCACCACCCCTCCTCCCTCTTTCCTCCCTTCTCCCGCTCGTCTCCCACCCGTTGATTTCGACCGGGAAAACTTTTGAGTTGACTCAGAAACCGTCGATTTCGACCGGGAAAACTCCTGCACGATCGCATCAAACTCGCTCTCGACAAAATTAAGATTGGACGCTCCGGCCTTGCGAGAAGACGTGCCGGGGCGCGAGGAGAGGGAGGTGGAGGGCCGAGACGAGGTGCTCGGTCTAGAGAGCGAGTCTTTATTGCCTGTACTGCGGCTGTTGAACCCTGAACCCCCGAAACCCCCCAAAAGGGTTCTAGGTGTCTTAGGCGGCATGCGTGTGGATAATTCCTCATCAGCAGCACCATCAGCAGCAACATTACCAGCAGCAGCAGCAGCAGCAGCAGCAGCAGCAGCAGCAGCAGCAGCACCACCAGAAGTACCAGCAGTGCTGCCACCGGCAGCAAGAGTTTCCCAGAACCCCGGGTGAAACCCATCCTCTCCAATGCTGCAACTCCTCTCAGACTCTTCTAGACTCTCCACCTCGCCTCGCCTGCTCGAGCCACCCACACTCTCCGATGCGATACTAGCGTCCATGCTTCCATCCCCCTCTGGATCCCTCCCTTCTTGAATCCCGCCCTTGCTCCTCTTTGTTTCCTTGTCCCTGCTCGCCCTACTGCTCCCCTTGCTTCTTTCCTTACTGCTTTCCTTGCTACTTCTCTTGAGGTCACCTTCACTGCTTTCCTTGCTGCTTTCCTTGCTGCTTCTCTCCCGCTCTCTTCTCGACTCTCCTTCTGACCTGCTTTTACTGGAACGAGACGAATGCTTCTTCGTCTCATCCCTCTCTCCCTCCTTCCCCTCCCCCTTCTCCGCTTCATCCCGCTTCTTCTCCTTATGCCTATCTTTGCTTTTCGATATCTCCCTCTCTTTCTCAGCAGCCCCCTCTCTTCCTCGTCTCTTCTCCTTATCGTCACTCTTATCCTTCACTTGTTCCTTTTCTTTCTCCTCACTCTTAGACTTGCTGCCACTGCTGCTGCTGCCGCCCTTGCTTTTACTCCCATCCTTGTGCCTGCTACTGCTGCTCTTATGCTTCTTATCCCCCTTTTTCTCAGTACCCATACCCGTTTTCCCTTCTGCCTCAGCTTCTACTAGTCTCTCAGTGCTCGCACTAACTAAACTGACTTCTGAAACTGACCTAGAAACTGCATCTGACTCAACAACAACCTCAATTTCACTCCCCCTGCTGCTGGCCCTACTGCTCGCTCTGCTCCGCGTTTTGCTGCTAGACTTGCTGCTGCTGCTCGGTTTGCCGCTCTCCTTCTTTTCTCTCTCCTTCCCCTCGCCCTTCTCGCTTCGCCTCTTTGGTTTTGGAGGGATACCAAGGGAAACGCCATTAGCAGAAAGGCTATCAGCCGCATTGGTGCCACCTGCAGCAGCAGCATCTGCAGCAGTGGCTCCATTCGCAGCAACACCAACAGCTGCATCAGTGTTAGCAGCAGCAGCAGCAGCAGCAGCATCAGCAGCAGTCTCGCCCCTCCCTGCTTGCCCAACCCCTTTCCCCAGCTCTCCTTTTCTCCCCCCACTGTCTCCCTCAACTCCTGTCGCACTCACCTCCTGCACCCCTCCCTCACTCACTCCCTCACTCACTCCCTCACTCTCGCCCAGGAACATGGAAACATCTCGAGGCAGCACGGCTTGGGCCAAAGGGGACGCCAGATCAAAGCTGCTTCGGCGCGGAGCTTCGGTGGCCAGCCGAACGTACCCAGCTTCGGCACCCACAGCTTCGGCAGCAGCTTCGGCAACTGCCTTAGGTTCGGAAGCTGCCCGAGGGAAGGCTACGGGACTGGTTGGGATCTCGATGGATATGCCTTGCTTGGGCAGACGCTCTCCTGTGGGCTTGGCTCCTTGGCTCTCCCCTGTCTCTTGCCCTTTGCCTGCCTGCTCACCTAGCTGCTGAATAGGCTGCTGACTAGAATTCTGACTAGGCTGCTGACTAGGATGCTGACTGTGTTGCTGGCTTTCCTCCTCTGCTTCCTCTCCTCCTCCTCCTCTCCTCTCCTCCCCCACTTCCCTTTCCAATTTCCCTACTCCTTCTCCTTCCCCCTTTTCTTCTGCCGTTGCTCCTGCCTTTACTCCTACCTTCTCCTCAGCTGCCTGTGTTTCACCTGCCCTCCCATCCCTCTCCCTATCACTCCCATTCCCACTCCCCCCTGCCCCCCCACCTGCCCCCAAGGAATCAGCCAGCATAAGCCTGTTCAAAATCCCTGCTGTTACCCCCTCCCCAACTTTCATCCGGGCAGATGGGCTTCTCAGCGGGCTGACCGGCCTCTCCAGACCCAAATTTTCGGGCAGGAATTTCGGAGTACCTGGAAAACTCTGCTCCAATTCCTTATCCTGCACCCCCTCCTGGCCTCCCTTCCCCTCGTTATAGTCACGTGTGGCGATTTTCTTACTGTCACCACGGCTAAAGTCACTCTTGAGGGGGGACCTTGGACGTGTGTGGAGGGAAGAAGAGGAGTAGGAGGAGGTGCGAGGGGAGGCGGGAGATTCAGGAACAAGATCGTCTATGTCGTCAGCAGGCCCTGTGCTGCCGTCAGCACCACCCTCTGCTTCCTTAAACCCTCCATCAGGCTCGGTTTGTCCGAACCTGGAGCTGGCGGAGGTTCGGAACGACCTTGGGGTGCGGGCGGGGTAGCCTCGGGAAGTGGGGGAGCGTACAGAGGAGGATGACTGAAGAGGAGAGGAGTGAAGGGAAGAGGAGTGGAGGGAAGAGGGGTGGAGGGAAGAGGAGTGAGGGGGAGAGTGGGAGAAAGAGGACGAGGCAGCTAGTCTAGGGGAGCGTAGGTCTCGTGGGGACTTGAGGGTTCGAGAGGATTTGAACGAGCGATGCGAGCTGAACGAACGAGGAGTGGCTTTGGAAAACCGAGGAGATTTCGCAGCGAGCGCTGCAGATGCTTCAGCCACGGCAGCAGCAGCGGCAGCAGCTTGAGCCTCGTAGCTCCCCTCTAAATACGCCCTTTCCTTTAGATAACCCCTCTCCTCCCCACCACCCACTGCTTCCTCCTCCCCTCCCTCCTCTCCCTCTTCTCCCTCCTCCTCTTCCTCCCCGTCCTCTTCCAAACCTTCTAGATCGTCTAGGACTAGCAAGTCAGCTTCAGGGAAAACACTCTCAGCCATCTCAGTACCGTTTTCCATTCCAGCTGCATCTGCTCCTGTTGATCCTCCTGCTCCTGCTCCTGCTGCTGCTGCTGCTGCTGCTGCTGCTGCTGCTGCTGCTGCTGCTGCTGCTGCTCCTGCTCCTGTTGGTGCTGCTGGTGGGAGCAGGTTTCGTCTAGACCGGGACGCATGGGAGCTGGCAAGCCTTCGCCGCGTGGGGGATTTACTGTACGAAGTAGCTGGTCTGGTAGCCCTAGGGTTACCGTAAGGACCACTTTCGCCAACGCCTTCGCCAACAGCAGGAACAGCGTTCAACATTTTCGCACTTGAAGACAGAGCTTTTCTAAACGACCTGCCACCGGTGCTCCCTCCCCCTAACCCTACACCCCCGCCGCCCACACCGCCTCCGCCCCCGCTGCTGCTGTTGCTGCGGAGGGTGCTTGCGCGGAAGCTTCCGCTCCTCATCCCCCTGGGGGTTGCGCCTGGTCCGCTCGCGCTGCTGCTGCGGAAGCTGCCGCTGTGGCGCATCTCCCGCGGAGGCTCCAGCAGCGCGGTGAGCGCGGAGAGGTCGCGCGGGGTGCGCGCGGAGCTGCTGGGATGGGGGGAGCTGATGGTGAGCGCGGAGAGGTCGCGCGGGCCGCGGGAGGAGCTGCGCGGAGGGCGGTCGGGGGGGACTGCATGGCTGGGGGGAGCGGATGGGATCTTAAAACCAGCGGATGTTTCTGGATGTGCCACGTGGCCGGGGCTTCTTGCAGGGCGAATCGTTTTCACGCCTGACGAGGTGAAAGTTGGAGTAGCAGGGGATAACGCCCCATCCCGGTCATCATCTTCGTTATAGTCGCCCCCGTTAGGATCAATACCTCCGCCCTGAGTCTCCCTTGAATTGGTGGAGAGAGAAATTGAGATATTTAAATCCGAAGCCTTTCCATTCCCTCGTGGAATGCCAAGCCTCTGTGAGGATGCGCCATCGGCGGGAGGCGGGCGGAAGGTCGGGACCGATTCGAGGGACGGCGGAACGAGGTCGTACGCGCTTGCGCTCTGTGCGGCCTCGTTTGCCGGGGGAGGGCGGAAGGTTGGGGCTGTTTCGAGGGACGGGGGAATGTCGTTCGGCGTAAACATAGTGTCGTGACGTGACATGTGGCAGACTCGGAAAGGATGGACGCGGACCCTGGTTACGTTCTATCGTTCAAAATGCATTCTATCGATCATTCGGTGTTCTAACAGTCAAATTTCCTTCTATTACGCAAGGGCTGGCGGTAAGGTCAGCTGATGCACGACAAGACATGATGACGAAATCCGTTGAAGTCGAACAAACCCTCCTACATAAAAAGTCTTCCTGATGGAAACGAACGCGCGAGGCGAAAGTACCTAGGCCAAACATTTAGGTCAAACTCTGGACAAAGACTAATATTGAGCTCCCAAAGCCAAACTCCCAGAGAACAAGCAGCGGCGCTGACAGTTGGAAGAACCAGCTGGGGCGGGGGGAGGTGGAAGTGGAACCATGAGGTGGACATGGAGATTGTCGAATTTTGAAGGTCCTTCAAGGAGACAGTTGTGTGATTCGAGGGTGCTTTGGAGTCTCAAAAGTCCCGTCTCGTGTACACTATACTTTTACTGTATGCAGCACAACTTTGTTCTGCCCACCACTGGTCTCATTTGATCACAGATTTCCTGCATCCAGATGTGGTCCACCTGGACTTTTGTCATGCCCGCTTGTATGTGGGATCAACTCACTATGCCCAAAGCAGATGTGATCATAAACCACTAGGACACCAGCTACTAAACATCGAGATTGGAGGTTGAAATAATCGGCAAGTTTCAGAGCTGAGGTCTAGAACACAAGGGCCCATAAGGGAAAAACTATACAGAGGCCACAAGGGCCCATAAGGGAAAAACTATACAGAGGCCACAAGGGCCCATAAGGGAAAAACTATACAGAGGCCACAAGGGCCCATAAGGGAAAAAAATACTCGGCTGTAGCTCAACAGCGTCGAGAGTATATCACGGAGGTCACGCGCTGGTGAACTTCGTGACTGCCTTGGTACCCTCTGACACTGCGTGCTTCGCCAATTCACCAGGGAGGGTAAGCCGGACTGCTGTTTGAATCTCGCGAGACGTGATCGTGGGCTTTTTGTTATACCGAGCAAGCTTCGACGCCTCCGTCGCAAGCTTCTCAAAAATGTCGTTGATGAAAGAGTTCATGATGGACATGGCCTTAGACGAAATGCCAGTGTCTGGATGCACCTGCAATGGAGAACAGCACATGCACGAACACGGCGCACATGCGATTCGTAAGCCGTGCTCAAATCAACAGGGAACGGTGGACGGGCAAGGGAGGAAACTGCGAAGCTTACCTGTTTCAAAACCTTGTAAATGTAAATCTTGTACGTCTCCGTCACGGCCTTCCGAGATTTCTTCCTCTCCGCCTTCTCCCCTGCAAGCTTCTTTCCTGCTCCTGGAGATTTCTTCGCTGTAACTTCCTTCTTTGGGCCCTTCTTTGCTGCCTTCTGCTCTCCCTCGACCTTCGGAGCCATAATAACTGAAGCTAGCACTATCTCCTAGATACAAAAGCAAAGAGGAGCTTCTGCTATGCACAGCTACTTGCTACGTTGATACGCGACCTTCGAAAGGCAAGAGGATTGTAGGCTGGGAGTTAACGTTGTACAGCGACTTGAAAACCTGAGCTAGTCTTGCAGCTGAGCAGATTATAAAGCTCTCCAAGTCTCACCTCGCAAAACGATGGTTGGGTTCCTAACTGGGAAACATTTCAAGCAACCAATTACACGGTTGCTATGGTTGGCACACGGATCGAGCACGATCACGGATAGCCGTAGATGGTTGGACACACTTGCGGTTAGATTCGTGTCATCGCTGTAGCGACATGATGATTGATGTTTTGATCCTTTCAATAAAAAGTACACTTTTGAAGTAAGTTCATGTAGCAGTATACGATTCAAAGGTGGAAAATAAGCAATAAACAAAATGAGAATTTTTTTGGCAATTTCATTTGCCACATTGCTGAAAAGGTGACCTCATTAATTAATAAACTCTATGTCCCATTACCATTGTATATTATTATTAAGTATTATTAATCAAAATAACCAGCGTATACTTCGGGCACCAGCGAGTTCCAAGGTCTTAGCGAGAACACATTTCCCGCCTTCTGACAGCGTTGTTCCTCCTCCCCCATTCCACCTGCTCCTCTACCCTGCCTTGGGTATTCATTCCTCTAGTTTTTCTTTCACTCCCGTCATGTTTCTCCTAGACACCCTTGTATTCTACCGGCAGCGAAAAGAAACCGACAGCTGCTTCGTCAATCTGCCGCGAATCTCACAGCCATGAGAGATCCCACCTTCAACAGGAGTTCCTGACAGTTTAGAGCTGTCGCGAAGAGACGAATCGGAAGCCAGTCACGAAGAGCACTTAGGTCAAAACGTTGAGGCACGAAGACACTCGTCGCAATACGGCAGTTGAGACTTCAGTATGAGTTAGTGCGATTTGGTAGTATTCAGTTGTAGGTTTGTAGGACTGACGTAGTGCCAGGTTGTCAAGCTAGTAGGCAGGGAGAACTTTCTGCTTACAACGCTTTCGCAGCATGCAGCTACTCCTCTGTTTTCAATTATATGGACAATGACAGTGCAGGAACTAAGGCTGTAGTAATCAAGGTGCCTCCAAACCGCGACGACATATTTCCCGCCAGATTTAACGGATATATCTCCACCACCTCACAGCTCCATACATCAGCGCCACCACCGCAGCACGGCAGGACCCTACAGCATCTCCATAAGCATTCACTCAGCTGTTCTCACGACCACCCATCCACAAGCATGGGTCTCTGCTCCTCATCTCTGGACGACGATGCACCAGCACCACTCCATCCCCATCACCACCACTCCCAACCCACCTCAACCGCATCAAATCTCCCTCCCACCTCCTCACCCCACTTCACCCCTCCCCGACCGCCTCCCCATCTCCCCCCCGAGTGCATCGCCCTAATTCTCTCTCACCTCCCTCCTACCGCCATCTGCCGCCTCGCCTCTGTCTCCAAAGTCTGGGATGCCGCTGCTGCCTCGGATACATGCTGGGCCCGCATCCTTCCCCACGCCTTCGCCCCGAAGCTGCTTCTAGACCGCTCGTCAATCCCAAGGCTGCCTTTCGACAATCCCAAGGTTGCGCCGGCTCCAGTTCCGGCTCCCACGTCTGCCGTTCCGTCCCGGCATTCACCTCGCAGCTCTCCTGCTTCTACTGCGTCTGCTGTATCTGATTCTGCATATTCCGCATCAACTGCATCTCTTTCATCCTCTTCTCTCCCCGAAAGCAGCTTCTCGGATCTGCTGAAGCGCCCTTCCAGCAAGATGCTTTTCCAGGCGTTATGCCGGGGCGTGTTCCTAGACGCAGGCAGGGTCCAGGTGAAGGTAGACCCAGGCACAGGCCTGATCAGCACAGCCCTTAGCGCCACGGAAGCCATGGGGATTGCATGGAGCAGCAACGCTAGCTACTGGCACCAAGTGCAGCGTAAAGGCTCGGTATTCCCTAGGGTTGCACATCTAGCTGCGGTCAGTGAGTTTGATCTGATTGGCCGGTTTAGTTTGCCGCTGCCGGTGCGATCGTGTAGGTATGAGCTGTGGTGGAAAGTGGCTCGGGATCCGACCCTGGGGGAATCCTGGATGCCTAGGGACGTGGTGTTTGAGTGGCCGGCTGCGCTGGTTACCAGCAATGTGAAGGTTACGGGTGCGAGTTTATCGGAATCGGTGGAGATTCAGCGGCGGGTGGTGTTTAATGACGCAACTTTGCCCGGGGCCGGGTGGACGGAGGTGGGGGTGGGGGTGGTGGTGCTAGGGCCGGGGATTAAGCGGGGAGGGTTTGGGGGGGAATTGGTGGAGACGGAATGGGAGGTGAGGTTGCATGAGGTGGAGTCGGGGATGTGGAAGAGTGGCCTGTATGTGGATTGCTTCTTGTTGAGAGAAGCTCCCATGTGATTTGGTTACCATCGGTGATGCTAGTGTAAGTACTGGTAGCATCGGATAGGAGTCGCTTGGGTTGGTGTAAATAATTGCAGCAGTGATTTCTGTAGAAGCGGCATGGATAGCCCCACTTTCAGGATGCTATTACTAGGATAGCCCCACCAAGTAATAAGTGGAATTGTACAATTTTGTCTAAATGATGGTCTTCAGTTCTGGAAATTCCCGCCAACCTCGGGTTTCTCTGTCAGGGCAGCGCGCTCAAATTGTGTTCGTCACATGCGGTTCAGTTCGGTTCTTTCAGTCTGGATCCTTCATGACGTACTACCGCCTTGAAACGCAAGTCACCGAGTAGAACCGTGTTTTTGAATCTGAATTCCACACTGGCTGGACACGCCCTCTCCACGCCTTCTGACAAAATCGGTGCCTAGAAATCAACTTAGTTTGATCTCTCTGCAACCGTTCCCAGGCAAGCTTGCTCGTCTTGGCTTGTTGATCCTCCGCTTCCGCCGGTCCGTCGGCCCAAGGTTGCCAAAGACGGAGTTCAGGGTCGTTTTAGTCGCTCATTCTAGTCTATGATCATTCTCTACAGCCGTATCCGCACCGTCCTTTTCAAGCATAGCTCGAAGGTCGTCCGTAGGTCGCTCTCGCGATCCTCACGACTCGCATCCCCGTTATTAGCTTCCCGCGTTCCGCGCTCTTGCTCCTACGATTGGACGTTTCCTTTTCGAACCGTAGCTTGCGTGGACAGTGTGCGACCCATATCGTGTACGAACGATCGTTCGATTAAAGCCAGGGAAATCCGCCACGTGGCTGAATCTTCGTCACTCGCCGCTCGCACCAGGACATCTAGAGCGTTTTCAGATCTTAGAGAATTGAGGGAATCACAAGAATTGAGTAAATTCAAGGAGGTAAGAGAATCTAAAGAGAATCCAAAGAATCGCCGGACTTTCGGGAAATTCTGCACGTTGCCGAGTCATCGTCAAGCGCTGAGTCATCTTCAAACGCTGAGTCATCTTCAAACGCTGAGTCACCTTCAAACGCTGTGTCATCTTCAAACGCTATGATGCGGCGGGCAAGGGGGCCCAACAGCCAAAAGCGGGGCGGGCGCGGAGGCGGAAGGGGTGGCGGAAGGGGCGGAGGGAGAGGCGGAAGGGGCGGAGGGGGAGGCGGAAGGGGCGGCGGGGGAGGCGGAGGGGGAGGGGGGGGAGGCGGAGGGGAGCAGAAATGGTGGGATCCGGCGTGGCGCGCGGAGCGATTAGCGGCGATGGCGAAGGAGGTGAGGGGGAGGAGGTGAGGGGGAAGGGGAGGACGTGAGGGTGAGGGGGAAGGAGGAGGTGGGGTTGAGGGGAGGAAGGAGGATGAAAAATTGACGGAGGTGAGGGAGGGGGAAGGCAATAAAATGAGGATGGAAGAGGGAGGGAGGTGTTTAGGTAAGAGAAGAAATGTGAGAGTGTTATTTCCAATTCCATCCCCATCCCCAAATTTCATTTCCATTACCATACCCATTCCACCCCCATTTCCATCCCCATCCCCATCCTGTTCCCCCTCCCCCTGCCCCCCCTCCCCCTGTTCCACCTCCCCTTGTTCCACCTTCCCCTGTTCCGCCTCCCTCCTGTTCCGCCTCCCTCCTGTTCGCCCCCCCCCCCCCCTGTTCCGCCTCCCCCTGTTCCGCCTCCCTTCAGAGAGGCCCGGCAAAGAAAGTGGACGGCGCAGCATGGGCGGCACGGTTTCGGAAGCTAGCAGCAGGGGGTGGTGCAGCGGGGAACGGTGCGGTGGAAAACGGGGCAATGGGGAACGGTGCGGTGGGGAGCGGTGCGATGGGAAACGGTGCGGTGGGGAGCGGTGCAGTAGGGTATGGAGCAGTGGGGGCAGCAGCAGGCGTGCAGCAAGGGGTTAGTTTTCCAGAGGAGATAGTGATTAGAGAGAATTATGGGAAGGAGGGAACGGATCACTTGCAACGACTGGCAGAGCAAGCAGGGCTGTACTTGTGAGTGAGTGGGAATGGGTTTGGCGTGGCGTGGTGTAGAGTGGTGCTTATGGGTTCAGAATCGATTGTGATTAGAGAAAATTATGGGAGGGAGGGCATGGGGCAGTTGCAACGACTGGCAGAGCAAGCAGGGCTGTACTTGTGAGTGAGTGGGAATGGGTGTGTTATGGAAATGGGCGTGGCATGGTATAGAGCGGTGCTCGTGGGTGCAGAGGAGACTGTGATTTCAGACGAGCCCCGAAACTTGCTGCAAGGCAATTGGTGAGCTTGGAGAAAAAAAAAACTTGTTACAAATCCATTAGCATTGCGAGCACTTTTCACAAATTTCGACTGAGCAAACAGTTCGTTCTTGTGAGGTAAAGAAGACGGTTGTGAGCAGAGTCAATCATAAACCCCAAACCCTGAAACCTAAACTCGGATTTAAACTTCAAACCGTATTCTTCAACTTGTACCTTGAAACCCAAACCTTGAAACCTTGAATCGTAGAACCGTCAGATTTTCACCTTTCCAGCTACAAAAGAGAAGAAAAAAATACCCCCTTACTGCTGTTACCCCCTCTCCGTTCTCTGCTCGCTTGCTTGCAGCCAGGCGTATGGGAAGGGCACTGGAACCGTTGCAGTGGCCAGCAGGGTGCCTCTTCCCAGCTACCGCGCGGACTTGGACAACAAGCACGGGCGGTCGGAGCGACAGGTGTGTGGGATTTCCTTTCAAAACTACTCTACATCCGCACTGCAACGGCAGCAGAACCGTAGCAGTGGGCAGCAGGGTGCCTCTTCCCAGCTACCGCGTTGATTTGGACGACAAACACGGGCAGTCCGAGCGACAGGTAAGATTTCCTTTCAAAACGACTCTACATTAGCACTGCATCATCAGCAGAACTGTGGCAGTGGGCAGCAGGCTGCCTCTTCCCAGCTACCGCGCTGACTTGGACGACAAACACGGGCGGTCCGAGCGACAGGTGAGTGGGATGGGATTCCCTTTTACACTGACTCGCCATTCTTGCTGCAAGGTCACCTGAACTGAACTGTAGCAGTGGCCAGCAGAGTGCCTCTGCCCAGCTACCGGGCTGATTTGGACGACAAACACGGGCGGTCCGAGCGACAGGTGAGTGGGATGGGATTCCCTTTTACACTGACTCGCCATTCTTGCTGCAAGGTCACCTGAACTGAACTGCAGCAGTGGCCAGCAGAGTGCCTCTGCCCAGCTACCGGGCTGATTTGGACGACAAACACGGGCGGTCCGAGCGACAGGTGAGTGGGATGGGATTCCCTTTTACACTGACTCGCCATTCTTGCTGCAAGGTCACCTGAACTGAACTGCAGCAGTGGCCAGCAGAGTGCCTCTGCCCAGCTACCGGGCTGATTTGGACGACAAACACGGGCGGTCCGAGCGACAGGTGAGTGGGATGGGATTCCCTTTTACACTGACTCGCCATTCTTGCTGCAAGGTCACCTGAACTGAACTGTAGCAGTGGCCAGCAGAGTGCCTCTGCCCAGCTACCGGGCTGATTTGGACGACAAACACGGGCGGTCCGAGCGACAGGTGAGCTGTAGATTCACCCAAAGTTGAATCACTTTGAGATTGACAGTTCAAAGCAAGGGCGCTGGGAATATGGAACGGCAGCAGTGGGCAGCAGAGCAGGGTGCCTCTGCCCAGCCACCGCGCTGACTTGGACGACAAGCACGGGCGGTCCGAGCGACAGGTAGGCTGCTTCCCTTTACGCAGATTGGCTCTGCTTGTTTATGACAAGGTCACCAGCAATGTGGAGTCGACTCAAAAGGCAGAGGTAGCAATGGCCAGCAGGGTGCATCTGCCCAGCTACCGCGCTGACTTGGACGACAAGCACGGGCGGTCGGAGAGGCAGGTAAGATCTCCTTTCAAAACGACTCTACATTCGCGTTGCATCATCAGCAGAACTGTGGCGGTGGCAAGCCGAGCAGTGTGCCTCTTCCCAGCGTATAATACATGATGACCCCCACCAACAAGTCTCCAGCCATAGTAACGAGGTGACTTTTGAGTCGACTCAAAACTAATACATGATGACCCCCACCAACAAGTCTCCAGCCATAGTAACGAGGTGACTTTTGAGTCGACTCAAAACTAATACATGATGACCCCCACCAACAAGTCTCCAGCCATAGTAACGAGGTGACTTTTGAGTCGACTCAAAACTAATACATGATGACCCCCACCAACAAGTCTCCAGCCATACTAACGAGGTGACTTTTGAGTCGACTCAAAACTAATACATGATGACCCCCACCAACAAGTCTCCAGCCTCCTTGTTTCCCCCTCTCAAACGGTCCGTTGTATTGATTCAGCAGGGGTACAGACATGCAGTTTTATTCATGATACCCTTAGTCCCTTTGACCCTTTAACCCTCCCCTCTGTTCCCCCCCCGTTATTCCCTCCGTTACAGTCCCTTCCTCTCTCATCCACACCCCTGTCCCCTGTCTGTCACACCCCCATCAACAAGTCTCCAGCCTCCTCTGTTCCCCCCCCCGTTATTCCCCCCGTTATTCCCCCCGTTATTCCCTCCGTTACAGACCCTTCCCCTCTCATCCACACCCCTGTCCCCTGTCACCCCCCGCACCCCACCCTTCTCCCCTTTTTTGCTCCTACAGATCACTGTGTCTCATGACCTCCATCAACACGTCTCCAGCCTCCTCGCCCCTTCCTTGTCAAATCCCCTGCCATCCCACCCCACCCCACCCCACCCCACCCCACCGTGTGCTGTGCCCCCTTCCCCCCACTCCTCCTCCCACCCACAGATCACTGTGTCTCATGACCTCCATCAAGACGTCTCCAGCCTCCTCGCCTCCCTCATTCTGCCGTCCCTTTCCACCCCCCCGTTTCCCTCCCCTCGTTCCCTGCTCTGTTCTGCCATTCTCCCATCCTCTTCCCCCCCAATCCCCTCCTCCTCCTCCCACACAGATCACTGTGTCTCATGACCTTCATCAACACGTCTCCAGCCTCCTCGCTCCTTCCTCCTCCTCCGTTGCCCCTGGAGCAACCACACCAGCAGCAGCAGCAGCACCATCAGCGGTAGCAGCAGGAGCACAGGGAGCGGGTCTCCTCCCAATCCCTGCACTGTCGTCCCAGGCCTCTGCAGCAGCTGAATCAGCAGCAGCACATGCACTTAGAGTGAAGAACGATGCATTGAGAGCCGAGCAGAACAGAAGGAAGGTAAGTGAGACTCCCTGATTGCTTCAGCAGAGGCAGCACCAGTCCCAGCTTCATCAGCAGCGGCACATGCACTTAGAGTGAAGAACGATGCATTGAGGGCTGAGCAGAACAGACGCAAGGTAGGTGAGACTCCCTGATTGCTTCAGCAGAGGCAGCACCAGTCCCAGCTTCATCAGCAGCGGCACATGCACTTAGAGTGAAGAACGATGCATTGAGGGCTGAGCAGAACAGACGCAAGGTAGGTGAGACTCCCTGATTGCTTCAGCAGAGGCAGCACCAGTCCCAGCTGCATCAGCAGCGGCACATGCACTTAGAGTGAAGAACGATGCATTGAGGGCTGAGCAGAACAGACGCAAGGTAGGTGAGACTCCCCGATTGCATCAGCAGAGGCAGCACCAGTCCCAGCTGCATCAGCAGCAGCAGCACATGCACTTAGAGTGAAGAACGATGCATTGAGGGCTGAGCAGAACAGACGCAAGGTAAGTGAGACTCCCTGATTGCTTCAGCAGAGGCAGCACCAGTCCCAGCTGCATCAGCAGCAGCAGCACATGCACTTAGAGTGAAGAACGATGCATTGAGGGCTGAGCAGAACAGACGCAAGGTAGGTGAGACTCCCTGATTGCATCAGCAGAGGCAGCACCAGTCCTAGCTGCATCAGCAGCAGCTGCTCGTGCACTTAAAGTGAAGAACGACACGTTGAGAGCCGAGCAGAACAGACGGAAGGTAGGTGAGACTCCCTGGTTGCATCAGCAGAGGCAGCACCAGTCCCAGCTGCATCAGCAGCAGCTGCTCGTGCACTTAAAGTGAAGAACGACACGTTGAGAGCCGAGCAGAACAGACGGAAGGTAGGTGAGACTCCCTGGTTGCATCAGCAGAGGCAGCACCAGTCCCAGCTGCATCAGCAGCAGCTGCTCGTGCACTTAAAGTGAAGAACGACACGTTGAGAGCCGAGCAGAACAGACGGAAGGTAGGTGAGACTCCCTGGTTGCATCAGCAGAGGCAGCACCAGTCCCAGCTGCATCAGCAGCAGCTGCTCGTGCACTTAAAGTGAAGAACGACACGTTGAGAGCCGAGCAGAACAGACGGAAGGTAGGTGAGACTCCCTGGTTGCATCAGCAGAGGCAGCACCAGTCCCAGCTGCATCAGCAGCAGCTGCTCGTGCACTTAAAGTGAAGAACGACACGTTGAGAGCCGAGCAGAACAGACGGAAGGTAGGTGAGACTCCCTGGTTGCATCAGCAGAGGCAGCACCAGTCCCAGCTGCATCAGCAGCAGCTGCTCGTGCACTTAAAGTGAAGAACGACACGTTGAGAGCCGAGCAGAACAGACGGAAGGTAGGTGAAACTCCCTGGTTGCATCAGCAGAGGCAGCACCAGTCCCAGCTGCATCAGCAGCAGCTGCTCGTGCACTTAAAGTGAAGAACGACACGTTGAGAGCCGAGCAGAACAGACGGAAGGTAGGTGAGACTCCCTGGTTGCGTCAGCATCAGCATATGGCGTGAGGTTGCAGAGTAACAAGTTAGAAATCAAGAAGATGAAGGTAACCACCACATGCGTTTGGGGTTTTAACAAAAGGGTGGATTGACATCCCAACACAAATGTACACCCTAGGCATGAGATAAATGGTGAACTGCGGTTCGGTTCGGTGCGGTTTGCTTAGGTTTTTACCCGAACCGAACCGTTACTTGTGGGCTACCGTTAAGAGCCATTAGGTTCGGTTCTTTACAGAATAAATCTGTCATTTGGCCGGTTCATAAAACCAATTAGCTGAGCTGAGCCGAAGCGAACCCGTTTAAAGATAAGCTCAAAAGACAGAGAATTTGAGCTGATTTCGAGCCCCAACTCTCTCATAGTCTACTACACCCCCTTCCATCCACCTAACATTGTTGACAACAAAGGGCCCTCAGAAAGGGCCCTAACATTCTTACGGTTGTTTTTTAGGTTTCAGCTATTGGTGACTATAGTTAAAGGGCCCTGGTGAACCAAATCAGTTTGGTTCGGGATTGAACCAACCTGGTCCGGTTCGCTGCCTTTTACAACGACTCACGAACTGGTTATATGCCGAGCCTGTTCGTTCACAAACCGGTTCGGCTTTTAAGAATATTAATCCGGTTTGGTTCGGTTAGGTGCCCTGCCCAACTCCACTGTATACCTCATTTAATGTTCTGTTCGGTTCTTCATAGAACAAGTTCGTCGGTTTGACCCCATACACTGCCCTTTTGAGCCTCAAACACAACCCCCAGCAGTTCAGGCCATGATGGCTCAGAGGCGTCACCTGCCGGCCTTGAAGCAGAGAGAGTAGCAGCTGTTTCTGCATTGAACAATCTCTCTCCCACACACCACCGTCCCCTCCCAACCCTCCCCTCGCCTTTTCTCCCTTCCTCCCTTCCCTCAATCCTATTCCCATCACCAGTCCTCCCGAGTAGTCCAGGCCATGATGGCCCAGAGGCAGCGGCTACCGGCCTTCAAGCAGCGGGAGGAGCTGCTGTTGCTGCACTGAACAATCCCTCTTCCCACCCTCTTCCCCTCCTCCCTCTCCTCCAGTCCTCCCGAGTAGTCCAGGCCATGATGGCCCAGAGGCAGCGGCTACCGGCCTTCAAGCAGCGGGAGGAGCGGCTGTTGCTGCACTGAACAATCCCTCTTCCCACCCTCTTCCCCTCCTCCCTCTCCTCCAGTCCTCCCGAGTAGTCCAGGCCATGATGGCCCAGAGGCAGCGGCTACCGGCCTTCAAGCAGCGGGAGGAGCGGCTGTTGCTGCACTGAACAATCCCTCTTCCCACCCTCTTCCCCTCCTCCCTCTCCTCCAGTCCTCCCGAGTAGTCCAGGCCATGATGGCCCAGAGGCAGCGACTACCGGCCTTCAAGCAGCGGGAGGAGCTGCTGCGAGCTGTGCAGCAGAGCCAGGTGATTGCAGCAGAGCCAGGTGATTGCAACAAGTCCAGGTGGTTGCAGCAGAGTCAGGTGGTTGTAACAGAGCCAGGTGATTGTAACAGAGCTAGGTGATTGTAACAGTGCCAGGTGATTACACCTGAGCCAGGGAATTGCAGCAGATCCAGGTGATTGCAACAGAGCCAGGTGATTCCAGAATAGCCAGGTGATTGCAGCAGAGCCAGGTGATCGCAGCAGAGCCAGGTGATTCCAGCAGAGCCAGGTGATTCCAGCAGAGCCAGGTGATTCCAGCAGAGCCAGGTGATTGCAGCAGGGCCAAGTGATTGCCACAGAGCCAGGTGATTGCAGCAACGACTGGTTAGAATGATTGCATCAGAACGTTCTATAGAAGGAGAGCCAGGAGGTGAATGCAGCTGGTGGTGTCAGACGCTGGTGGTGCTGTCAGTCAGGCACGACTGGTGGTTGCGGCAAGACCACTCAGCTAGTTCTGATTTTAAGCCGAGAAGAATTGGCAGAACTAGCTGACTCAGCTAGTTCTGATTGTCCGTTACTGACAGCTGGTGGTGTCCGACGCTGGTGGTGCTGTGAGGCAAGACTGGTTGCGGCAAGACGACCACTCAGCTAGTTCTGAGACGTCTCAAAACAAGACGACCACTCAGCTAGTTCTGATTTTAAGCCGAAAAATTGTTCAAACTGGCTCTCTAAGAAAACGCTCCAGCTCGCTGTAAACCAGGCTCCTTCCACCCATTCACCCGATCTATGGGATGGGGTTTGTCTCGTCATCCTAAGTACCGTACGAGTTGATAGAAGCAAGGCCTCCGCAGCCCACCTGTCCGTTACTGACGACTGGTTGCGGCAAGACCACTCAGCTACCCCAGTTTATCTTGGAGAGTGAGATAGAAGGAGAGCCAGGAGGTGAATGCAGCTGGTGGTGTCGGACGCTGGTGGTGCTGTCATGTCAGGCAAGAAAGACTGGTTGCGGTGCGGCAAGACCACTCAGCTACCCCAGTTCATCTTGGAGAGTGAGATAGAAGGAGAGCCAGGAGGTGAATGCAGCTGGTGGTGTCAGACGCTGGTGGTGCTGTCATGTCAGGCAAGAAAGACTGGTTGCGGCGCGGCAAGGCCACTCAGCTACCCCAGTTCATATTGGAGAGTGAGATAGAAGCGGGCAGAGGCGGCAGGCAATGGCCAGCATCTGCTCTCGTGCTGGTGGTGTCGGGGGAAACAGGCTGTGGTAAGACCACTCAGCTACCCCAGTTCATATTGGAGAGTGAGATAGAAGCGGGCAGAGGCGGCAGGCAATGGCCAGCATCTGCTCTCGTGCTGGTGGTGTCGGGGGAAACAGGCTGTGGTAAGACCACTCAGCTACCCCAGTTCATATTGGAGAGTGAGATAGAAGCGGGCAGAGGCGGCAGGCAATGGCCAGCATCTGCTCTCGTGCTGGTGGTGTCGGGGGAAACAGGCTGTGGTAAGACCACTCAGCTACCCCCCGTTCATATTGGAGAGTGAGATAGAAGCGGGCAGAGGCGGCAGGCAATGGCCAGCATCTGCTCACGTGCTGGTGGTGTCGGGGGAAACAGGCTGTGGTAAGACCACCAATTCATCTTGGAGAGTGAGATAGAAGCGGGCAGAGGCGGCAGGCAATGGCCAGCATCTGCTCACGTGCTGGTGGTGTCGGGGGAAACAGGGTGTGGTAAAACCACTCAGCTACCCCAGTTCATCTTGGAGAGTGAGATAGAAGCGGGCAGAGGCGGCAGGCAATGGTGGTTTCGGGCAAGACTGGTTGCGGTGCGGCAAGACCACTCAGCTACCCCCGGTTCATCCTGGAGAGTGAGATAGAAGGAGAGCCAGGAGGTGAATGCAGCTGGTGGTGTCAGACGCTGGTGGTGCTGTCATGTCATGCAAGAAAGACTGGTTGCGGCGCGGCAAGGCCACTCAGCTACCCCCCGTTCATCCTGGAGAGTGAGATAGAAGCGGGCAGGGGATATCAGCCACGTCTTATTGCAAACCCCCCCACTTCCTCTCCCTTCTCCTTAGGTGCTTGCTTGTAGTGTCGGGCGATGATCATCTGCACCCAGCCAACTCCTTTCCTCCCCCCCTCTCCTCTCCTCTCCTCTCCTCTCCCCAGGTGCTTGTTGTGTCAGGTGAAACTGGCTGTGGCAAGACCACCCAGTTGCCCCAGTTCATACTGGAAAGCGAGATAGAGGCGGGAAGAGGCGCACAGGCGATGATCATCTGCACGCAGCCCCGGCGGATATCAGCCACGTCAGTGGCAGCGAGGGTGGCGGCAGATAGGCTGATTGCCCTCGCCTCCCTTTTCCCCTGTCCTCTGATTTCACCCCTCCGTTTGCCTTCTCTCAGGTCCTTGTAGTCTCAGGTGAAACAGGCTGTGGCAAAACAACTCAATTGCCCCATTTCATACTGGAGAGTGAGATAGAGGCGGGCAGAGGAGCACAGACGATGATTATCTGCACGCAGCCCCGGCGGATATCAGCCACGTCAGTGGCAGCGAGGGTGGCGGCGGAGCGAGGCAGCAGATGTGCCGATTCATGCTGTCCCTCTCTCCCTTTCCTCTGATTGCACCCACCTCGTTCTCCTTTTCTCAGGTGCTGGTGGTTTCAGGTGAGACTGGGTGTGGCAAGACCACCCAGCTGCCTCAATTCATCTTGGAAAGCGAAATCGAGGCAGGAAAGGGAGCGCAGACGATGATAATCTGCACGCAGCCCCGGCGGATATCAGCCACGTCTGTGGCAGCGAGGGTGGCGGCGGAGCGAGGCAGCAGATGTGCCGATTCATGCTGTCCCTCTCTCCCTTTCCTCTGATTGCACCCACCTCGTTCTCCTTTTCTCAGGTGCTGGTGGTTTCAGGTGAGACTGGGTGTGGCAAGACCACCCAGCTGCCTCAATTCATCTTGGAAAGCGAAATCGAGGCAGGAAAGGGAGCGCAGACGATGATAATCTGCACGCAGCCCCGGCGGATATCAGCCACGTCTGTGGCAGCGAGAGTGGCGGCGGAGCGGGGCGAGGAGGTGGGGGGAAGCGTGGGATATCAGATTCGGATGGAGAGCCGGCGCGGGCCCAACACGAGACTGCTGTTCTGCACGACAGGCGTGCTGCTGAGACGACTGGTGAGTGCTGCTGAGACGACTGGTGAGTGCTTGGGGAGTGCATGGGAAGGAAGCAATTAGTAGAGGCGAGGAGGTGGGGGGCAGCGTGGGGTATCAGATTAGGATGGAGAGCCGGCGAGGGCCGAACACGAGACTGCTGTTCTGCACGACAGGCGTGCTGCTGAGACGACTGGTGAGTGCTGCTGAGACGACTGGTGAGTGCTGCTGAGACGACTGGTGAGTGCTGCTGAGACGACTGGTGAGTGCTGCTGAGACGACTGGTGAGTGCTGCTGAGACGACTGGTGAGTGCTTGGGGAGTGCATGGGAAGGAAGCAATTAGTAGAGGCGAGGAGGTGGGGGGCAGCGTGGGGTATCAGATTAGGATGGAGAGCCGGCGAGGGCCGAATACGAGACTGCTGTTCTGCACCACTGGCGTGCTGCTGAGACGACTGGTGAGTGCTGGGCTTGGGTTGGGGTGAACCTGGTATTCAGTAGAGGCGAGGAGGTGGGGGGCAGCGTGGGGTATCAGATCAGGATGGAGAGCCGGAGAGGGCCGAACACGAGACTGCTGTTCTGCACGACAGGCGTGCTGCTGAGACGACTGGTGAGTGCTGCTGAGACGACTGGTGAGTGCTGCTGAGACGACTGGTGAGTGCTGCTGAGACGACTGGTGAGTGCTGCTGAGACGACTGGTGAGTGCTTGGGGAGTGCATGGGAAGGAAGCAATTAGTAGAGGCGAGGAGGTGGGGGGCAGCGTGGGGTATCAGATCAGGATGGAGAGCCGGCGAGGGCCGAACACGAGACTGCTGTTCTGCACGACAGGCGTGCTGCTGAGACGACTGGTGAGTGCTGCTGAGACGACTGGTGAGTGCTGCTGAGACGACTGGTGAGTGCTGCTGAGACGACTGGTGAGTGCTGCTGAGACGACTGGTGAGTGCTTGGGGAGTGCATGGGAAGGAAGCAATTAGTAGAGGCGAGGAGGTGGGGGGCAGCGTGGGGTATCAGATCAGGATGGAGAGCCGGCGAGGGCCGAACACGAGACTGCTGTTCTGCACGACAGGCGTGCTGCTGAGACGACTGGTGAGTGCTGCTGAGACGACTGGTGAGTGCTGCTGAGACGACTGGTGAGTGCTGCTGAGACGACTGGTGAGTGCTGCTGAGACGACTGGTGAGTGCTGCTGAGACGACTGGTGAGTGCTTGGGGAGTGCATGGGAAGGAAGCAATTAGTAGAGGCGAGGAGGTGGGGGGCAGCGTGGGGTATCAGATCAGGATGGAGAGCCGGCGAGGGCCGAACACGAGACTGCTGTTCTGCACGACAGGCGTGCTGCTGAGACGACTGGTGAGTGCTGCTGAGACGACTGGTGAGTGCTTGGGGAGTGCATGGGAAGGAAGCAAGTACTAGAGGCGAGGAGGTGGGGGCCAGCGTGGGGTATCAGATCAGGATGGAGAGCAGACGCGGGCCGAATACGAGGCTGCACTTTTGCACGACAGGAGTGCTGCTGAGACGACTGGTGAGTGCTTGGGGAGTGTATGGTTAGTGACTGGTGAGTGTGAGCTGATTGTGTTGTGAGGTGAGTGCGTGGTGGAGAGCGGTGGAGAGTGGTGGCTGGTGAATGCATTGCTGTTTACTTATCTGAGGTATGAACCAGGACTTGCGACTCATCATTCTAAAAGACCTGCCCCATGTGCTGCCCACGTGCTGTCTTATGTGCTGCCTCACTTGCTGCCCCATACGCTGCTGCCCTGTCTGTCTCTCCTCCCCACCAACACAGGTGCAACAGCCAGACCTGGCTGGCGTATCGCACGTGATGGTGGACGAGATACACGAGAGGGGAATGAACGAGGACTTTCTTCTCATCATCTTGAGGGATCTACTAAATCACATGTTGTCCCCTGTGCTGCCCTACACGCTGAACCACGTGCTGCCCCGCAGGTGCAACAACCAGACCTGGCTGGGGTATCTCATGTGATGGTGGACGAGATACACGAGAGGGGCATGAACGAAGACTTCCTCCTCATCATCCTCAGGGATCTACTTCTCTGCCTTGTGTGCTGCCCACTGATGGGCTGCCCTATCTCTCCCTCCTCCCTGCAGGTCCAACAACCAGACCTGGCAGGCGTGTCCCATGTGATGGTGGACGAGATACACGAGAGGGGAATGAACGAGGACTTGCTTCTCATCATCTTGAGGGATCTGCTGCCTCACATGTTGTCCCCTGTGCTGCCCTACACGCTGAACCACGTGCTGCCCCGCAGGTGCAACAACCAGATCTGGCAGGCGTCTCGCATGTGATGGTGGACGAGATACACGAGCGGGGAATGAACGAGGACTTCCTTCTCATCATCTTGAGGGATCTTCTGCCGCGCCGCCCCGACCTGCGCCTCGTGCTCATGAGCGCCACCATCAACGCCGAACTCTTCTCTGATTACTTCAATAAAGCTCCCATGGCGCACATCCCGGTGAGTGAGTGGCTTTACAAGGCAACGATCTGCATCTCGTGCTCATGAGCGACACCATTAACGCTGAGCTATTTTCAGAGTACTTCAACAAGGCACCCATGGCACACATCCCGGTGAGTGAATGGTGTGGTGGTGCCTGCCGGCCTCTGTGTGCGTGTGCGCATGCGCCTGACTGGTGCCTGTGCTGTTGCCATCACACTCGTTCCGTCCCTACCTGCGCCTCGTGCTCATGAGCGCCACAATCAACGCCGAACTCTTCTCTGATTACTTCAATAAAGCTCCCATGGCGCACATACCGGTGAGTGAGTGGCTTGAGTCTGTCTATACTCTTTTCTTTTTTCCTCGACATCATTCTCAGAAATCGTCTCCCCTGCCGCCCCGACCTGCGCCTCGTGCTCATGAGCGCCACAATCAATGTGGAGTTGTTCTCGGAGTACTTTCACAAGGCCCCCATGAGGCACATTCCGGTGAATTCAGGTGGTGTCTGTCTGTCTGTTTTGAGGGTACAAAGGTGACCAGAGTGTGATAGTGACATGGACAGATAGACAGACAGACAGACACCATCAACGCGGAGCTGTTCTCGGAGTACTTTAACCAACGCTCCCATGGCGCACATTCCTGTGAGTTTGACTGGTGTGGTGCCTGCCTGCCGGCCTCTGTTTGAGTGTGTGCGTGCGCGTGACTGGTGCCTGTGGTGTTGCTGCCACCACACTCGTTCCGTCCTCATCATCTTGACTTGAGGGATGACCTGCGTCTCGTGCTCATGAGTGCGTTGACTTTTGAGTCGACTCAAAAGTCAACGCTGCCATCACACTCGTTCCGTCCTCATCATATTGACTTGAGGGATGACATGCGTCTCGTGCTCATGAGTGCGTTGACTTTTGAGTCGACTCAAAAGTCAACGCTGCCATCACACTCGTTCCGTCCTCATCATCTTGACTTGAGGGATGACATGCGTCTCGTGCTCATGAGTGCGTTGACTTTTGAGTCGACTCAAAAGTCAACGCTGCCATCACACTCGTTCCGTCCTCATCATCTTGACTTGAGGGATGACATGCGTCTCGTGCTCATGAGTGCGTTGACTTTTGAGTCGACTCAAAAGTCAACGCTGCCATCACACTTGTTCCGTCCTCATCATCTTGATGGATGACATGCGTCTCGTGCTCATGAGTGCCACCATCAACGCGGGGCTGTTCTCGGGGTACTTTAACAACGCTCCCATGGCGCACATGCCGGTGAGTGACTGGGTTGTCTCAACATTCTTTCCTTTGCATTGTTGAGGAATCCGCCGCCCCGACCTACGTCTCGTGCTCATGAGTGCGACCATCAACGCGGGGCTGTCCTTTGAAATCGCCAACAAGGCCCCCCATGGCGCACAACCCGGTGACTCTTGGGTTGTAGGTTGTTTGTTCTCTGGACGCAGATCGTTAGACATATTCCAGCGAGCAGCATATTCCAGCGACCAGCATATTCCAGCGACCAGCATATTCCAGCGAGCAGCATATTCCAGCGAGCAGCATATTCCAGCGAGCAGCATATTCCAGCGAGCAGCATATTCCAGCGAGCAGCATATTCCAGCGAGCAGCATATTCCAGCGAGCAGCATATTCCAGCGACCAGCATATTCCAGCGAGCAGCAATATATCTAACGATCTGGTGACTCTTGGGTTGTAGGTTGTTCTCTGGACTGGACGCATCGGTAGGCGTATAAACACCTATATTGGTGCGACTTTTGAGAATTCTCAAAAGTGCAACAACTCTTCCCATCAGGGACCACTTGATGGAACACCTAGCGGTGAAACACGTGTTGGAGTGCTCCTGCATTCCCGTCAGGGACCAGAGCCACCAGGGAGGGGGGTTCTCTCGTGTGCCTATCTGATCATGCCCCATCACCTCTCTTCCTTCGCTGCATTTCCCCCCCCCCCAGGGCTTCACCCACCCTGCAGCAGCTGTTTCTAGAGCACGTGTTGGAGCGCACGCGCATTCCCGTCAGGGACCAGGGGCAGCAGGGAGGAGGAGGGGGGTTCTCTCGTGTGCCTATCTGATCATGCCCCATCACCTCTCTTCCTTCCCTGCTGCCCGCACCACCTCTTTTCCCCCCCACCACCTCTTTTCCTCCCCTGCTGCCCCCACCACCTCGCTTGCTCCTCCGCCCGCTGCCCCTGTCGTCTCTCTTTCTCCTACACTACTCCACAACTCCTACAGGGTTTCACACACCCGGTGCAGCAGCTGTTCCTAGAGCACGTGTTGGAGCGCACTCGCATTCCCACCAGGAACCAGAGCCAGCAAGAAGGGGGAAGGGGTTTTCTCTCGTGTGCCCATCTGATCGTTCCCCATCACCTCTCTTCCCTCGCTACCCCATCAACCCCAGGGTTTCGCACACCCGGTGCAGCAGCTGTTCCTAGAGCACGTGTTGGAGCGCACGCGCATTCCCATCAGGGGGCTAATCTTGTTACCACCACCTCTCTCCTTTCCTCTACCCCGTTTCCTCTCTTCTTCCCCAGGGTTTCACTCACCCGGTGCAGCAACTGTTTCTAGAGCACGTGTTGGAGCGCACGCGCATTCCCATCAGGGACCAAAGCCAGCAGGGAGGAGGAGGGGGGTTCTCGAGAGGAGGAGGAGGGGGAGGGCGCGGGTACGGGAGGGGGCGGCGGGAGAAGAGTGCGAGTATTGCAAAGAAAGACCCGATCTCAGAGGCCTGGGAGGTGAGAACAATTGTATATGGGGGTCTGGGAGGGGGAGGGCGCGGGTACGGGAGGGGGCGGCGGGAGAAGAGTGCGAGTATTGCGAAGAAAGACCCGATCTCAGAGGCTTGGGAGGTGAGAACAATTGTATATGGGGGTCTGGGAGGGGGAGGGCACGGGTACGGGAGGGGGAGACGGGAGAAGAGTGCGAGTATTGCGAAGAAAGACCCGATCTCAGAGGCTTGGGAGGTGAGAACAATTGTATATGGGGGTCTGGGAGGGGGAGGGCACGGGTACGGGAGGGGGAGACGGGAGAAGAGTGCGAGTATTGCGAAGAAAGACCCGATCTCAGAGGCTTGGGAGGTGAGAACAATTGTATATGGGGGTCTGGGAGGGGGAGGGCACGGGTACGGGAGGGGGAGACGGGAGAAGAGTGCGAGTATTGCGAAGAAAGACCCGATCTCAGAGGCCTGGGAGGTGAGAACAATTGTATATGGGGGTCTGGGAGGGGGAGGGCGCGGGTACGGGAGGGGGCGGCGGGAGAAGAGTGCGAGTATTGCGAAGAAAGACCCGATCTCAGAGGCCTGGGAGGTGAGAACAATTGTATATGGGGGTCTGGGAGGGGGAGGGCGCGGGTACGGGAGGGGGCGGCGGGAGAAGAGTGCGAGTATTGCGAAGAAAGACCCGATCTCAGAGGCCTGGGAGGTGAGAACAATTGTATATGGGGGTCTGGGAGGGGGAGGGCGCGGGTACGGGAGGGGGCGGCGGGAGAAGAGTGCGAGTATTGCGAAGAAAGACCCGATCTCAGAGGCCTGGGAGGTGAGAACAATTGTATATGGGGGTCTGGGAGGGGGAGGGCGCGGGTACGGGAGGGGGCGGCGGGAGAAGAGTGCGAGTATTGCGAAGAAAGACCCGATCTCAGAGGCCTGGGAGGTGAGAGTGATAATATTTGGGCTATGACATGACACGGGGTATGGGCTCAAAAACCCCGAAACCCTAAACCCTGATGAGCCTATTTTTGAGTCGGCTCAAAAAAGTGGGGGACGGGAGAGGAGTGCGAGTTTGGGAAAGAAATACCAATTTCAGAGGTGAGAACTAGTTCTCCTGTTCAGACGTCTCAAAGAAATACCAATTTCAGAGGTGAGAACTAGTTCTCCTGTTCAGACGTCTCAAAGAAATACCAATTTCAGAGGTGAGAACTAGTTCTCCTGTTCAGACGTCTCAAAGAAATACCAATTTCAGAGGTGAGAACTAGTGAACTGGTAGTTGTATTGCAGTACTCTGCTGCGAGATTCAGATTTCCGCTGTTTTTCCTTTGCTTTAAGCCTACTGCACGCACGCAGGTCACTGAGACATGTCTGAATCTCGCACAGAAAGGCCAATTTCAGAGGTGAGAACTAGTGAACTGGTAGTTGCATTGCAGTACTCTGCGGCTCTGCCTTCATTCTTGCAATACCACCACGTTTCACTTTCACCCCCTCTTCAACCCTCCCATCCCTACCCTACCAGGACGTGGACGTGTGGTCGCACTACTCTGCCTTCTCCCGGCCCTTCCAGCGTATGTTTTTTGAGAATTCTCAAAAAACATACACGTGGACGTGTGGTCGCACCACTCTGCCTTATCCCGGCCCACCCAGGACTCCCTCGTCAACATCTATCTAGTGGCATCTGTCGTGGAGCATATGCAGGAGTGCTATTCCTCTCTCCACCGCTCTCTACCTCTCTCCACCCCCTATCCATGTACACGTTTTTCTTGGCAGGATGTGGACGTGTTCTCAAACTAAGGAAACGGGTAGAAAGCTGGCTGGACGTTTTTCTTGGCAGGATGTGGACGTGTGGTCTCACTACTCCGCTCTCACCCGGACCACTCAAGAATCCCTTTACAACTTCTCTTCAGATAAGCTAGACATCGATCTAGTGGCATCCGTGGTGGAGCATATATGGAGTGCCACCCTCTCCACCCCTTTCCACCCCGTTCCACCTGTCTGCACCCCTCTGCACCCCTCTCCATCCGTGGCATGGCAGGATGTGGACATATGGTCGCACTACTCTGCCTTCACCCGACCCACTCAAGACGCGCTCGCCAATTTCTCTTCAGACAAGCTAGACATTGATCTAGTGGCATCCGTGGTGGAGCATATCTGCAGTGCCACCCCTCTCCACCCCTCTCCACCCCTCTACATCCCTGGCATGGCAGGATGTGGACATATGGTCGCACTACTCTGCCTTCTCTCGGCCCACCCAAGACTCTCTCGCCAATTTCTCTTCAGACAAGCTAGACATTGATCTAGTGGCATCCGTGGTGGAGCATATCTGCAGTGCCACCCCTCTCCACCCCTTTCCGCCCCTTTCCACCCCGTTCCACCTGTCTGCACCCCTCTGCACCCCTCTCCATCCCTGGCATGGCAGGATGTGGACATATGGTCGACCTACTCTGCCTGCAGCCGCCCCACCCAAGACTCGCTCGCCAATTTCTCAGCAGAAAAGCTAGACATTGATCTAGTGGCATCAGTCGTGGAGCATATATGCCGGAACGAGGCCGAGGGGGCCGTGCTGGTCTTTTTGACGGGCTGGGACGAAATTTCGAAGCTGCTGGAGGTGCTCAAGGCGATGCCTGTCGCCGGGCAGCCGTCGAAAGTTTTGCTGCTGCCCCTGCACGGGTCGATGCCAACGATTCAGCAGAAGGACATTTTCAACCGCCCGCCTCCCGGAGTCAGGTGGGTGGCTTTCTTCATATAATATCTATACAACACACCCATGGAATGGATTATGGATATGACATGATAATATGCTTTTGACGTAAGTGTACCCGAAGTGTGTGTAAAAGCTTGTGTATTTTATAAGAGTCTTTGCTAGGGCTCTCGATGTGTCACATTTACTCTCACGTGGTGGTTGTGTATCCAGTAAGATTCTTTGCTCCGACTCTCGACATTGCGCTTGGTGTCAGTTTTTTCTTTATCCCTCGCTGTTACTCTCTCGTCTCTGGCACATAATAATTTATCATAGCCGCCCCTCACAATCTGTTTTTTCATGATCTCTATTTATTCCTCCCGTGTTCTCGATACTGTTTCTTCTCGCCAGGAAGGTAGTTCCGGCGACCAACATAGCAGAGACCAGCATCACCATCGACAATGCTGCCTTTCAATCTCCCCAGCCCCTCGCCATCTCAACATCGTTCTCTTTCCCTTATGTCTGTTTTTCCTGCTCTTCAGGAAGGTGGTCCTGGCGACCAGCATAGCGGAGACCAGCATCACAATCGACCACGTGGCCTCTCTGTCCCCTCGGCCCCTCATGATCTGTACATCGTTCCCCTTCTCACTCTAGAAAAGTAGTCCTGGCGACCAGCATAGCGGAGACGAGCATCACAATCGACGACGTGGTCTTTGTCGTCGACTGCGAAAAGGAGATCTTCCTCATCTCCTCCTTGCTTCTCTCCTTCTGTCACTTCTGCTACTTCCGCTCCTCCCCTCCTCCCCTCCCCAGAAAGGTAGTCCTGGCGACCAACATAGCAGAGACCAGCATCACAATCGACGACGTGGTCTTTCACTCTCCTTGGCCCCTCATGATCTGTACATCTGCTCCTCCTTTTTTCCCTTCCTCTCCTCTATCCAGAAAGGTGGTTCTGGCAACCAACATAGCGGAGACGAGCATCACAATCGACGACGTCGTTTTTGTGGTGGACTGTGGAAAGGCCAAGGAAACTTCCTACGATGCACTCAATAAGCTGGCCTGCCTCCTCCCCTCGTGGATTTCCAAAGCCTCGGCCCACCAGAGGAGGGGGCGGGCGGGGCAGTGGCGGGGCGGGCGGGGCGACCCAGATAGCAAAGACCAGCATCTCCCCGTCTCTCACCCCTCCTCTCCTCCTTTCTTTGCCTTCCTCTCCTCTCCCTATCCAGAAAGGTGGTCCTGGCGACAAACATCGCAGAAACGAGCATCACAATCGACGACGTGGTTTTTTGTGGTGGACTGTGGAAAGGCCAAGGAAACTTCCTACGACGCCCTAAACAAGCTGGCCTGCCTGCTCCCCTTGTGGATTTCCAAAGCCTCGGCCCACCAGAGGAGGGGGCGGGGCGGGGGGGGGGCGGGCGGGGCGACCCACATAGCAGAGACCAGCATCTCCCCTTTTTCTCACCCCTCCTCTCCTCCTTTTTTTCCCTTCCTCTCACTTTTCAGGAAGGTAGTCCTGGCGACCAACATAGTGGAGACGAGCGTCACCATCGACAACGTGGTCTTTCATTCCCCTCAGCCCCTCACAATCTCTACATCTTTGAATGTTCCTCTGTTCTTAAATTTTGTTTGGATTTATTTTCTCCAGAAAGGTGGTCCTGGCGACCAACATAGCGGAGACGAGCATCACAATTGATGACGTGGTTTTTGTGGTGGACTGTGGAAAGGCCAAGGAAACTTCCTACGACGCTCTAAACAAGCTGGCCTGCCTGCTCCCCTCGTGGATTTCCAAAGCCTCGGCCCACCAGAGGAGGGGGCGGGCGGGGCGCGTTCAGCCGGGGATTTGTTTCCACCTCTACCCGAAGCTGGTTTATGATTCGCTGCTGGAGTTTCAGCTGCCCGAGATTCTGAGGACGCCCCTGCAGGAGCTGTGCGTGCAGATCAAGCATTTGGAGTTGGGGCACGTGCAGGCATTCCTGTCTAAAGCCATGCAACCACCAGAAGCGCTGGCAGTAAGTGGGGTGGGGGGGCTACATGCTTGCTGTTGTGATAGTCCCTCTGGCAGTGAGTGGCAGAGGGCTGTGTGTGTGTGTGTGCAGATCAAGCATCTTGGCTTGGGACACGTGCAGTCGTTTCTCTCCAAGGCCATGCAGCCACCAGAACCGCTGGCAGTAAGCGGGGTGGGGTGGGTTGGGGGGGGCATACCAGAACCCCTGGCAGTGAGTGGGGAGCGTGCAGTCTCTTCTTAAGGCCATGCAGCCACCAGAACCGCTGGCAGTAAGTGTGGGTGCGGGGGGTACATGAATGTGGGCTGGGATGGGATGATAGTCCCCCTGGCAGTGGGTAGCAGGCAGGAGCTGTGCTTGCAGATCAAGCGCCTCGGCTTGGGGCACGTGCAGTCGTTTCTCTCCAAGGCTATGCAGCCACCAGAACCCCTTGCGGTAAGTGGGGTGGGGGGGATACATCATACATGCTGGTTGGTGTGATAGTCTCCCTGGCAGTAAGAGGGGGGGAGCTGTGTGTGCAGATCAAGCACCTGGGGTTGGGAGACACGTGCAGTCGTTTCTCTCCAATCCCCTTCTCCCATTCCAACCCAACCCCTCTCAGGTGCAGGACGCGGTGCACCTGCTACTAGAGACAGTTGGGGCATTCACGCCCGACGAGCAACTCACCTCCCTCACTCGTCACCTCCCCAATCCCCCTCCCCTCATTCCAACCTAACCCCTCTCAGGTGCAGAACGCGGTGCAGCTGTTAGAGACCATTGGGGCATTCACCTTCGACGAGCAACTCCCCTCTCTGGTCTGGGGTGCCCTCCCTTGCTGCAACATTTCATGTAAATCACATCCCCTTCCCCCCTGCTCCCTCAACCCGTGCCCCCTCAGGTGCAGAACGCGGTGCAGCTGTTAGAGACCATCGGAGCATTCACGCCCGACGAGCAACTCACCTCCCTCAGTTGTCACCTCCCCAACCCCCTCCCCTCATTCCAACCCGTGCCCCCTCAGGTGCAGAACGCAGTGCAGCTGTTAGAGACCATCGGAGCATTCACGCCTGACGAGCAACTCACCCCCCTCGGATGCCACCTGGCCGCCATTCCCGTGGAGCCCCGGATTGGAAAGGTGGGTCTCGTTGGATGAGTGAGGGAGGGAGGGCATCTCCATCAACCTCTGATGTAATGCCTTTGTGCCTCCCTCAGTCTCGCCCCCCTCGGATGCCACCTGGCTGCGATTCCTGTGGAGCCCCGGATTGGAAAGGTGAGTGCAAGCAACAACGTGTTGTGGGTCTAGCCATGCCATGCCTGTGTCTAAGCCCGCACCACCCGTGCACCACGTGTGCACCACCTGTGTTCCCTTCTGAGGCTCCTCAAAGGTCGTCTCAAACCGCAATCTTTTAGGCGCCTAAAATATTGTGGGTCTAGGCTAGCCATGCCAGTCCCTAGCCCCTCTGACTGCGCACCACCTGTGCACCCCTCCCGACCGCCCACTTGTCCATCTCTCGCCCATTTTACGCGCCTCAAAGCTCAAATCCACTCGTCTCTACCTTTCCCTCCCCGCCCATTCCCCCAGATGCTAATTTTTGGGGCCATTTTCAACTGCCTCGCCCCAGCGCTCACCATCGCTGCCTCCCTGGCCTACAGAGACCCCTTTGTCCTTCCTCTCGAGAAGAAGGAGCTGGCAGATGCAGCCAAGAAGGAGTTCTCAAAGGACTCCAGGAGGTGAGATGGGGTGGGGTGCGTGGTGTAGGGTGGTGTGCTTTTCACCATCGCTGCCTCCCTGGCCTACCAGGACCCCTTTGTCCTTCCTCTCGAGAAGAAGGAGCTCGCAGATGCAGCCAAGAAGGAGTTCTCAAAGGACTCCAGGAGGTGAGATGGGGTGGGGTGCGTGGTGTAGGGTGGTGTAGGGTGGTGTAGGGTGGTGTAGGGTGGTGTAGGGTGGTGTAGGGTGGTGTAGGGTGGTGTAGGGTGGGGTGCTCTTCACCATCGCTGCCTCCCTGGCCTACCAGGACCCCTTTGTCCTTCCACTCGAGAAGAAGGAGATGGCAGATGCAGCCAAGAAGGAATATTCAAAGGACTCTAGGAGGTACGGGTTTGCTAAGGGTTTTCTTTCCTCTCTGGGCCATTGCGATCCCCCTGTGATTCCCTCAAATGGCCTTCCTCTCCCTGGCCTACCAGGACCCCTTCGTGCTCCCTCTCGAGAAGAAGGAGCTGGAAGAGCCGCTCCTCTCCTATCCCCCCAGCGACCACATCACACTTCTGAACGCGTTTGAGGGGTGGCGAGTGGCGAAGCAGCAAGGCCTGGAGCGCCGCTTCTGCTGGGATAACTTCCCCTCTGCCCCCCCCCCCTCCCCCCCCCCCCCCCTCCCCATCCTCTCCTCTCCCACCACTCCTCTCCTATCCCCTCAGCGACCACATCACACTTCTGAACGCGTTTGAGGGGTGGCGAGTGGCGAAGCAGCAAGGCCTGGAGCGCCGCTTCTGCTGGGATAACTTCCCCTCTGCCCCCCCCCCCCCTCCCCATCCTCTCCTCTCCCACCACTCCTCTCCTATCCCCCCAGCGACCACATCACACTTCTGAACGCGTTTGAGGGGTGGCGAGTGGCGAAGCAGCAAGGCCTGGAGCGCCGCTTCTGCTGGGATAACTTCTTATCGGCGCCGGTGCTGCAGATGGTGGCGGACATGCGAGGGCAGTTCCTGCAGCTGCTGAGCGATATTGGGTTCTACGACCCCAGACTGGGGCTCCATGTGAGTGAAATGCCCTTGTGAGTCAGGTACCCAACCCAAGTGCAAGTCCTTGGGTGCATGTATGCATGTACCAGCGCCGGTGCTGCAGATGGTGGCAGGCGGACATGCGAGGGCAGTTCCTGCAGCTACTGAGCGATATCGGGTTCTACGACCCGAGATTGGGGCTCCATGTGAGTGCAGGCATGCGAGCAGGTGTGCGCATACATGCTGGGATAACTTCTTATCGGCGCCGGTGCTGCAGATGGTGGCGGACATGCGAGTGCAGTTCCTGCAGCTGCTGAGTGATATCGGGTTCTACGACCCGAGACTGGGGCTACATGTGAAGGCCTTGCAAGCACTGAGAGTGAAGAGGGTGGCACATGCATGCACGGGGGTGAATAGCAGCAGCGCCGGTGCTGCAGGTGGTGGCGGACATGCGAGGGCAGTTCCTGCAACTGCTGAGTGACATCGGGTTTTATGACCCCCGATTGGGCCTGAATGTGAGTGAGGAGTGTGGTGCATGCATGCACGGATGCCAATGGGAGGAGGCCTCATGCATGAAAGTAGCGCCGGTGCTGCAGGTGGTGGCGGACATGCGAGGGCAGTTCCTGCAGCTACTGAGCGATATCGGGTTCTACGACCCGAGATTGGGGCTCCATGTGAGTGCAGGCATGCGAGCAGGTGTGCGCAATCATGCTGGGATCACTTCTTATCGGCGCCGGTGCTGCACGTGGCGGAGGACATGCGAGGGCAGTTCCTGCAGCTGCTGAGTGACATCGGGTTCTACGACCCGAGACTGGGGCTCCATGTGAAGGCCTTGCAAGCACTGAGAGTGAAGAGGGTGGCACATGCAGGCATGGGGTTGAATAGGAGCAGCGCCGGTGCTGCAGGTGGTGGCGGACATGCGAGGGCAGTTCCTGCAACTGCTGAGTGACATTGGCTTTTACGACCCGAGACTGGGCATCAATGTGAGTCGGATACCCAACCCAAGTGCAAGTGCTTGGGTGCAACTGCTGAGCGACATTGGCTTTTACGACCGAAGACTGGGCATCCACGTGAGTCTCTTGCCTCTATTGTAATGTATGGACCAGAGGTGCTGCAGATGGGGGCGGACATGCGAGGGCAGTTCCTGCAGCTGCTGAGTGATATCTGGTTTTACGACCCGAGATTGGGGCTCAATGTGAGTGTCTTCCACACACTGTGAGTGAGGTGCGTGCATACATGTACCCAGATGCGAATGAGACGTCTCAAAACTAGTGACTTCCACACACTGTGAGTGAGGTGCGTGCATGCATGTACCTAGATGCGAATGAAAGCAGCGTGGGTGCTGCAGATGGTGGCAGGCGGACATGGGAGGGCAGTTCCTGCAACTGCTCAGCGATATTGGGTTTTACGACCCAAGACTGGGGCTCCGTGTGAGTGCCTTGCCTCTATTGTAATGTATGGAGCACCAGTGCTGCAGATGGTGCCAGGCGGACACGCGAGGGCAGAGTTCCTGCAACTGCTGAGCGATATTGGCTTCTATGACCCGAGGCTGGGGCTCCATGTGAGTGCCTCCCTCAATGTGAGTCAGGTTTACACATATTGGCCCCCCATTGAAACTTTATTCTACCCAGGTTGAAACCCCATTGAAACCCCATTGAAGCTCCATTGAAACCCAGGTGAGTACTCATTGAAAACCCATTGAAACCCCCCTTGACCCGCTATTGCACCCTCCATCAACCCCTTGTGTGAACTTCACCCCATTCAACCCCCACAGGAGTACAGCAAGCTGGCATCGGACCACGAGTGCTCTCCCCCCCTGTGTCAAATTACTTACTCCCATGCAAACACCCTTTCCAACCTCTTATTGAACCGTCCCATTAACCCCCTCAGGAGTACAGCAAGCTGGCATCGGACCAAGAAATGCTTTCCGCTGTGATCCCATTCACCCCCATTTGAACCGCTTTTGACCCCTCCATCTAACCCCCTCAGGAGTACAGCAAGCTGGCATCAGATCAAGAGATGCTCTCTGCTGTGATCTGTGCGGGCCTCTATCCCTCTGTTGCTCAGGTGAGGGTCTCTGTTTCTCAGGTGGGGGTCTCTGTTGCTCAGGTGGGGGTCTCTGTTGCTCAGGTGGGGGTCTCTGTTGCTCAGGTGAAGGTCTCTGTTGCTCAGGTGAGGTTCTCTGTTGCTCAGGTGGGGGGCTATGTTGCTCAGGTGGGGGGCTATGTTGCTCAGGTGGGGGTCTCTGTTGCTCAGGTGGGGGTCTCTGTTGCTCAGGTGGGGGTCTCTGTTGCTCAGGTGAGGGTCTCTGCTGCTCAGGTGGGGGTCTCTGTTGCTCAGGTGAGGGTCTCTGTCGCTCAGGTGAGTTTCTCTGTTGCTCAGGCGAGAATCGGAACGATAATCTCCTCCAATTTCATTATGAGGTGCTTTTCTTGCCTTGCATGCACGGTTACTTGTCCCGTCATTTCTCACAAAACCAAAAAAACCCTCGTATCGTATTTTCCGGGCATGTCTGAATGGGTTTTCCTAACCTCTATAAACCCGAAACCCTAAACCCTGGACTTACTCCAGATTCAGCGGCAGGGCAAGTTGTTTGTGTTCTTCACAAAGGATGACGGGCGGGTGGAGATGCACCCGTCCTCGGTCGCCTTCTGCCTTCCATTCCAGATTGAGCTATTTCTCCTGCCCCTCGCTCTCCCCACCTCTCTCTTACGCCCCTCTCCCCACCCGATCCCCCTTCTTATTTCAGATTCGCCGGCAGGGAACGCGGTTTGTGTTATTCACAAAGGACGATGGGCAGGTGAAGATCCACCCTTCCTCAGTCAACGCCTTCTGCCCCTCCTTCTCCCGCCCCTGGCTCGTCTACAATGAGAAAGTCAAGACGTCCGACATCTTCCTCAGGTTGGTGCCGGTTGAATGCAGTTGAGTGCGGTTCAATGGGTTGCCAATGACGCATTAGGGTTAACGCCTTCTGCCCTTCCTTCTCCCGCCCCTGGCCCGTCTACAATGAGAAAGGCAAGACCTCTGACATCTTCCTCAGGTTGGTCCCAGTCTGATTAGTTTTGTTACAGTTTCACGACGGTTCAGTGCGGTATAGTGCGGTTCGAAGGGTCATGCAGTGATCCATTGAGATCAGCAACTTTTTCTTCTCCTTCTCCCAGCCTTGACTCATTTACAATGAGAAATTCAAGACTTTTTATATTCTCTCAGGCGTGAGTCATGGTTGAATGTGATTCAATGTGGTCCAATGCGGCACACTGGGTTGCCAGTGGTGAATTGGAATCATCGCTATCTTTCAGCCCTACCTTTCATTCCCCCTGTCTCGTGTAAATCAAATAAAAGTGAGTCAATCAAGGCCTCCAACATTTTCCTCAGGTTGGCATCAGTATGGATGGGGTCCAATGCGGTTCACTGCAGTACACTGGGTTTCTGGAGATGCATTCAGACCAGCGTGGAAATTTCGCCTCTGTCCGCCCACACTTCCCTCCCGCCAACCCTCCCAGGCCATCTGATTTCGCCCTCCTCATGTTCCGAGGCAGCCTCATGCCCAGCCCCGCAGGGACCCTGCTGGCTGAAGTGACTTTTGAGTCGACTCAAAAGTCACCTCGTTACAATTGCACACGACACGATTCCGCCCTCCTCATGTTCCGAGGCAGCCTCATGCCCAGCCCCGCAGGGACCCTGCTGGCTGAAGAGAAACTCCTGCCAATAGCCATGCATCATTCCCCACACCACTCCACTCCTCCCCCCGCCCCTCCCAGAGACTCCACCATGGTCTCTGATTTCGTGCTTCTCATGTTCGGAAGCAATTTCGAGCCCGCCCCTGCTGGGACCGGCGTTGCACTCCACCCACCCTCCCCACCGCTCTCCACCCATGCCTCCTCCCACCCCTCACAGGGATTCCACCATGGTCTCTGATTTCGCCCTCCTCATGTTCGGAGGCAACTTCGAGCCCGCCCCGGCCGGCCGCATGGGCTTTGACATGCTGGGGGGTTACCTACACTTCAGCGCTTCAGCTCAGACGGCTCAACTTGTGCAGGTGAGAACACGCATGCAGCCACACACACTGTCACCCCGGCCGGCCGCACGGGCTTTGACATGCTGGGGGGATACCTGCACTTGAGTGCTTCAGCTCAGACTGCTCAACTGGTGCAGGTGAGGGCAGGCATGCAAGCACTAAGTGTGAACCCCTGCCAACCGCACAGGCTTTGACATGCTGGGAGGGTACCTGCACTTCGGTGCCTCTGCTCAGACGGCCCAACTGGTGCAGGTGAGCATGCAGGCATGCAGACACAAGCTGTTCGCCACACACTCTGTCACCCTGGCCGGCCGCACGGGCTTTGACATGCTAAGGGGGGAGGATACCTGCACTTCAGTGCTTCAGCTCAGACGGCTCAACTCGTGCAGGTGAGAGCGCGGTGGTGAGTTCTATTTCTGAGTCGACTCAAAAGCAGACTCATCACAGGTGAGAGAGCAGTGCAGGTGAGAACAGGCATGCAGACACACACGCTGTGACCCCTGCCTACTGGCCACATGGGCTTTGACATGCTGGGGTCCTGGGGCGGGGAGGTATCTGCACTTCAGCGGTAGGGACGTGTAGAAAGTGTATTTCTGAGACGTCTCAAAATACAATTTCTACACGTTGCTGTGACCCCTGCCTGCCAGCCACACGGGCTTTGACATGCTGGGGTTGTGGGGTGGGGAGGTATGTTGTCGTGAAGTACCTCCCTTCGGCCTGCTTCTTCAGACTCTTTTCTCTGCCTCCCTCTTACATTGCCTCTCCCTCCCTGATAGGTGCAGTCCGCCTCTCTTCTCACTCTCATCCTCTCGGTTTACTCTCCCTGCTTGCCTGCCCCCTGGCCATCTGCCTGTCTCTTCTTCCTGCGTGTGTATGTGATGACGCTGCCCTTGCCTTCTCTCTGCTTCTCAGGCTGCACTGCAACAAGACTATATTCCCTCCCTCGCAAGGGCTCCGTCAGTTTGCTAGAGCTTCTCTTAACTGCTTGCCTCCGTGGTTGGGAACACAAACTGCAGTATTACGAGAAACAAACAAGCAAAAAGCAAGAAACCTGAGTGCTGTCCCTGACTACATCCCTTCCTCCGCCTGCCTAGGCTAGGTTCCTTCTTCCACACGCTAGCTCTTGGTGCCATATGAGAGTCAGCCGAGCTGCTCCTGATGGCTCCGAGGTGCTAGCTGGGTCCCACTAGGCCCACTAGGCATGCACTGCCTTCCAGCTGGAATCGAATTCCTTGCCTAGAATCGAATTCCCAGCTGGAACTGCATTTCCAACTTGAAATCGAATTCACAGCTGGAATCGAATTCGCCCTTCAGCACCAACCTCCTCGGTTCTCTCAGCACTCGGCTCTGTAAAGCGTATGTACAGTGCACACCAAGCACACAAACGAAATTAGAGTACAAAGCAAGAAATGCAAAATCACCTTGCTGCTGTGTAATTCACACCTTGCCATCAGCCAGGTGTTAATAACGCGACAATGTGCACTTCAGTGGTAGTGGTGGTGGCAGTGCTATCTTATGTGCCTTCTTCTCAACCCATTCTGCCCGTCCTTTCACCTCATCGCGCCCGTCTGCCCATATCCTGCCATCTCCCCCCTACTCTCCCAGGATATGAGACAGCAGTGCTAATGTTTTTTCATCCATTCTACCCCTTCCCTCCTGAGTGTGTGTTTTTTGAATTCTCAATAAACAAACCCATCCATTGTACTCCTTCCCTCCTCTCTTTCCCAGGACCTGAGGCAGCAGCTGGATTGGCTCCTGAGGGAGAAGATCGAGAACCCATCCTTGGACGTGCATGCACAGGGGGAAAGGGTCGTGGCAGCAGTGCGCAACCATGCCTTCCTCTGACGCATTTTGATTGTCTGTCCCCTCTCTCCCTGATTTTTCTCCCAGGACCTGAGGCAGCAGCTGGATGGGCTCCTGAGGGAGAAGATCGAGAACCCATCCCTGGACGTGCATGCACAGGGGGAGAGGGTCGTGGCAGCAGTGCGTAGCCTCCTCTCCTCCCCTCATGCGAATTCGGTCCCCCCTGAGGAGGCTGGAGGTGGGGGAGGAGGGGGAAGGGGGGGTGGACGAGGAGGGGGGAGGCATGGGCATGGGCATGGGCATGGGCATGGGCATGGGCATGGGCATGGGCGTGGGCGTGGGCAAAGGGGGCGAGGGGGGAGGCACTAGTATAAGAAATGGTACGGTATGAGAAGCTGGATTTTCATGAGATACTGGTACATGAACACGGGGAGAGGGGTGGCAACGGTTGGCAATCTCCTGTCATCTCGTTATGTTGATGTGAAATCCAAAACTGCACTCACAAATGTGGAAGCTGTGCTTATGTGTAAGCAAGTTACTTTCCAATCACGGGCCGAACATATAAAAACACTCGTAATCACTGTACTAATATCAACATGTTTCCTGGCCTGGTGGGTTTGCTCGTTGGGTGCTGTAGTGTTACTCACAGAAGAAAACAAATGCACTTGTACGCTCGATTCGTTTTTTTGCGAGCGCAGGATGTTTTGTTTATTGGAAGTCGAAACTTCTTATAATACAATGCCGTAACACCATGAACATTCGTAACTGCAGTGCAAGCGAATTTGCTGCGTTTGGCTTCTCATCCAAGTAGGCGAATTGGATCTAACCGAAGACAACGGCTACTTCATTCTACTGCGGCACTTCGCTCTTTTGGGTGGCCTTTCCCCTCCAAGCCGATCTTCGCTTGACGAGGCCACCCCTTCCAGCTGTGACGCCTAAACCATTTCTTTCTGACGATCATTTTAGAATCATGGCGTCTGCCATTTCCCCGTGCCTTCTCGCAGGCCGATCTCTAGTGCCGGCGCATCGTGTTCGTTATGGCGCTCCGCTCTCGGTACCTAGAGATTTCCGTTTCACAGAGCAACGCAGATTTGCAGACTTTTCCGTGCACGCGAAAAAGAAGAAGGCCAAAGCTCCAGCAGAGGAGGAGGTGGTAGAAGAGGAGGTTGTTGAAGAGGAAATTATTGAGGAAGAAGAGGAACCGTCTTGGGTGTCTGAGAGGGTTACCGATGTCCAGCAGACCGTTCAGTCAGTAATGCAGGCGGTCCCTGGTCCACGTGTAGGCGAGTCAAATATGCCATGGCTCATCGCCGTCCCATTAGGCTACATGGCTCTGACTTTCGTTCTGGCAGTGTATAAAACCGTGAAAATGCGAAGCTCTCCCAAGACGAAGCGCAGACGACAGGTGCGAGATGCTGAGCCTTTTTCCGGTCGGGATGATCGTGTTTGGTCCTGTATGGGCGTTAGAGATAACACGCGCTTCGCAAGTTACTGACTATCCTTGGTGTACGAATTCTGCAGATCGGGAAAAATGCTGGCCTCAATCAGAGCATTGACGATTTTTTGCCTGACAACAGGGACGCTCTGACTTCAAAGGAGCTCAAGTCGCTCGAGAAAAAGGTACTCCCAATCCGCATTATTTAGGCCAGCAGTCATTCATTGAACATGTAAGGACTTCTCCTGACGTTCTTTCTCTTCTGCAGTTCAACTTCAGCTCGGATGAGATTCTTCGCAAGTACATTCGCTACGTGATCAATGAAAAGCCCTTTACCCCGGAGACGGTTTCCGGCCTCATTCACCTACGGAAAGTGTCTGGTCTTGATGACCTTGAGATTGCCGAGGTGCTTAATGAGATCTCTCGGAGAATCGTTAAAGCCAAAGGTAATAGCCGTTTTTTTTTGTGTTTCATCTTGTTTTGGTGGTTATAACCGTTCCACAAGAAAAAATCCCCTCCCTCACGTCAACCTCGGCTGCAGGTCCTGTGGTGATGGATACAACTGGTTTCACTGAAAAGGGAGTGCAGAGGAAGGCAGCGGTACAGGGGATCTTCACAAAGCTCCTGTACTTGTCTGAGGTACGTGGTGTTCCTGTCGTGAATTGTGCATGAGAATGTGGTGCCGTCACGTTACACAAATTAACATTTGTGTGTTTCTGATGCAGCTGGATGATTTCTGTGGGCCATCTGGGCGTGAGAAGCTTGAAATCAAAAGCATTTTTGGAGTTACAGAGTGAGTGTTGTTGGGCCACCCCTCTTTGTTTTCCATTTTCCTTGTTTTCCATTTAAACCGCCGCTAACGTTTCTTTGTTCCTGCAGCGAGGATGCTTCGTTGATCAAGATTGTAAGTTTGTCTTCATCAGCTGACATGGATGCGCTGGACAAATCATTAAATGCTGGAGACTCATCAGACTCTGAAGCAGATGAATGATCCATGGCCCTTGTGACCTGCAGACTTACAATGTACCGCAGGTAGGACTAGTGAAGCACTCCAGTCCGTGCAGTTCTTTTGCCACTCCTTGGACCTTAGGTTCCAGAATTAGAGCACCTAGGGTAGGCCGCATAGGTCTTGCACAAGTTAACGCTGATGGATTGTTGAGGAGGCCATGCTTAAAAGGCCATGGTTTATCGAGAACTCGCCACACCAAGGTTGTATTTCCGAGAGAATTGTACAGAGTCAAGTAGGCATGTCCTTAGTAGGAACAACAATTCCCTACAAAAACATGCTTATTGTCTGAACATGCTTATCCCGTACTCGTGAACTTCCGTCTGAGCATAATGATGTACGCAGCGTTTTGCCTGGCTTTCTAGTCAATTCTAGCAGTTAGGAGAAGAAGTACGGTATATAAGTCTATCTTCCGTAGAGGTGTGCATTGCAGAGAAGCAGTAGTACGTACTTTTCAGCACAGCTACGCCATCGTGGAAAATTCTGTAGTCAGTACCAAAGTTTTCCAAATACCACCCCCCCCCCCCTCCCCCCCGCTCCACGTGCATGGGGGGGGGGGGGGGGGGGGGGGGGGGCTTTTGAATGTAGGGGTGATGGCTAAATGTCAGACGCATATCAACAAGACGGATGGAGCAGCGGGTCGCAGTTGACGTCCTTGTAAAGGAGATATCTTGACTGGGTCTTGCAGAGAGCTGCATACCTGCATGGCTCAACATGAGGGATGAGGAAACATCAGCGCGGAGAAAACATGGGTGTAGAGAAGCAGGTGTGATGAGGGAAAAAGGAGACGAGAAAACATGGGTGTTTGAAAACATGTACGACGAGAAAAAACGAGCAACGAGGAAGCATAAGCGATTCCCAATGCAGCTGAGATAAAAGTAGAAACGGATAATCCATGAGACAATCCGACCACTGGGATTAATGGTCTGTCGATCACCCATGAGTTCCATGTCACACTCATGTTATTGTTATTAGTTAAATCTGCAAGGCAAGGTTTCCTCACCACTGGGGAACAAATGGGGCCATCCAGATTGCGTCGCCTGCTTGAACGGGATACCTGCAAATACATACAGAGTGAAACAGAATTGCAACGATTGAATGAATGCTTAGAAACCGCAGCTTCACATGCTTGGTTCAAGTGCGTTGTGAAGTTTTTTCATAGCCGCATAATTTCCTCACTGCAAAGCCCTGGATCAAAACATAAGACACATGCACTGCATTTCATCGTCACCAGCTGTCGCATCAAACGCTTTTGCCTCACCAGTAAGCCTGTAAAAGAATATTCGTATTCGGTAACTATTCGATATTCGCTTCGAATACCGCAATTCGTAAGAATAGAATACGACGGAGTATTCGTCAATATTCGCTTCAGAGGTATTCGTAGAATAGGAATACCGGGTCAAATATATTCGGGGTATTCGATACTATTCGCTATTCGGACATTATTGCCCCTCAATACTTGACCATGCATTTTACATCGATTTTTGCAGGGAACGGTGATACTGCCAAGTTTGACGGTTAATTTCTGCATCACCCGTCTTTTACATAAGTTGCGACATCATGAAAGACATCATAAAATGTGTACAGTTGTATGTTTTTTTAATTATATGACATGAAATGTTTGAGAGACTATACAGTTTCTTTTTTAATGCAGTGTATTTATACATCACAAAGTCATGGTAACCGCGCAACAGCACCCACACATTTTTAGCGGATTTCTGGCCGTTTGCCGCCCTGCCGAAAATTGGCGGTTTCCTGCTATGCGGCGGCTGTTGTTGACGGCGACTCAGAGGGCCTTCCTGGGATGGGGCCCCAACCGACGTGCCACCAGCAACAGTGCACGGGGGGGGGGGGGGGGGGGGGAGAATGTGGACATCGCACGATTTGGAAGGTCGTGTCAGAACGATTTTAGCGCTAGACTGTCACGGAACCGGGTCGTGACTCGTGGGTAGTTGTCGCACGTGAAAAAATTCAATCAAGAACGCGCACAAATTTTTGAAACATTATCTCCCTAAAATTACGGAAGTTCCCTCACAGTACGGGAGTAGGGGGCCGTTGAAAAATGACGCAATTATATTCGAATTGGACGCTGTTACGTGGTTGCGCCAATTGAAGAATCGACTCTCGCCTTAAGCGAAGAGAAACATTGGCGCAAATATCTAGGGGTGCTTTCGCGGACTGACAACCGCGCAAATTTCATGCGAGGTTACTTCGAAAAAACAAACGGTAAGTCTCCCGAGTCAATGGCGCGGAATTCTTGAAGTGTCCGTTTTTTTTTTTTTTAATATTCCCCGCGTTGCAGGTGCACGCGCCTCGAAATTTTCAGTGCTAATGTTCTGCGCCACTTACTATAAACACAGTTTAACTTCAGACTTGAATCCAGAGTTCTCAGAGTTTATCAAATCTGAAAACGCTGGACGCTCTTAACATTCCTGAAACGACGCAAGTTACGATGGCGCCCGTCGATGCAACAATGCAGTCTAACATCCATGACGACGCTTCTGCAGTAAATCCGCCTGCTGAGCAAGGATCGGTCGCCGTCCCGTCAGATAAGCGTGTACGATCCGTAACCTGCTCCGCTCCCAACAATGAAGACGGGGCAACGCCAGAGTCCAAAAAAAGGGCGAAGACAGCTCCTTGCTGGCAAGTTTTTGAAGCTGAAGGTAGTGAAACGGCTCGATGTCTTCTGTGTCCAACAAGACAAATCTTCAAAGTTCCTAAGGGTTCAACTACATCTGGTATGAAGAATCATTTGAAAACCCAACACCCTATTCGCCATGCTGAGTTGTACCCTGACGAATCTTCATCTGGCCTTCAGAGCATTGAAAAGTGCATTTCACGAGGCACGTACTCGGATGTGGAAAATCTTCGCCGACTGTTACGTATTTTCTCCAAGGGCGTCATTTCTTTCTCCTTTATCGAGTCCGCTGAATTGAAAAATTATTTGCAGTGGCTGGAGCCACAAGTCAAAGTCCCTTGTCGTGTCACTATCGCAACTGACATCATGAAAGCCTACGAAGATCTCCGCGCAAAGCTAAAGAAGCGACTTGGTGCCTTGTCTTCGAAAATCTCCTTTACGTGTGACCTGTGGACAGCACCCAACATGGATCCTTACATGGCCATTACTGCACACTGGATCGACAAAAACTTTGAAAGTAAGTCGATTTTGTTAGATTTTCGGCGTCTGGGAGGACAACACACCGGAGAGGCAATCAAGGAGGCCTTCATTGATTCTGTCTACACACAATGGGAATTGCAAGACAAGGTAATGGGGGTCACAGTTGACAATGCTTCTACAAATGAGAAGTTCCTGTCGCTGCTTGCAGAGGAAAAATGATTCTGCAAGGACAGGCACCTTATGTGCTTTGCTCATGTCCTGCACCTCGCTGCAGAATGCTTTCTGAAGGCGCCTCGTGTTGATCGAGCGCTAGCAAAAATCCGGGGACTTGCAGTTTACCTCGGTGGCTCATCCCAGCGCAAGGAGAAGTTCTCAAACAT